TTTGAAAGCTGTAGAGAAGGTTGTTAATGAGAAACTCTCTCTCTCTATGTATATATTTGGCTAGTAGTTGGATTAGAGGCAAAGGGCCAATATTGAAATGTCATTTTATTTTATTTTCAAGGCATTGTATTTCTCTTGGATAGATTTTTCACTTTGTTGCAAAGAAAATGGTTCAAACTAGAGGGCATATACCTAAGAAGTGTTGTTGTCGAGAAAGTAGGTGGAACAAAGATGAAATTGTGGTTCAAAATTATTGACCATCCGCATGAGAACATCATAATTGTTAGATTTTCATTTGATATATTCAGCAATTCAAGAGGAGAGTTGAAATGTCACAGTTTCTCATGAGATCATGCAAGGAAATGTAGAGTTCAAATCACAATATATAGTTTGTATTTTTGAGTTTGGTAGATGCACTAATTGTGGACTAGAGTTTTGTCTTAGGGAAGACAATAGAGGAAACCTTGGACAAATGACACCTACAAAGAAAAGAAAATGGAGGAATTTAAGCAATAATAAAATTAGGATAAAGAAGGTGAGATATTGCATGACAATTGATAATTTGGGTTATGCAGTATGGATGTGTGTGCTAGTGGTAGCACAACGCAACAATGACATGGGACAAGGGCATGGAGTGCGGGTATGGCAAGGTTTGCAAGTTTGTCAATGGGGCATCTGTTGGTTTCAACATAAGCGAGGAGTTATGGGGATAGCTTGTGTGCAAGGGGAAATATTTATCAGAGTAGGGAGGAAATGGCTAGGGTTAGGTTATCCGGGCTCTTATGCCACATTAGAGAGAGAATCTCTTTTTTGCTTGTCTTATTCGCGAGCGGATCCCTTTATTTATAATAGAGGAACTTGTAAAGTGATATAAGATACAACTAGATTAACATACATCCACGAATCTAGACCACCTTCATAATTTGATAATTTCATAAATAATTAGTAAATTTTGTTGATCGATCAAGTGATGAATATGAATATATTTGAGCATTTTTCATCTATTATACAAATGAATGAGATATAGATTTGGGCTTAATGATAGAGTTGTAGCTTATTGGTTAAAATGGAAAACTAAGGAAAGTGTTAAAATTATCCTTAAACTTGTTATGTTATATATATCTGATTGTCGGGAAACAAATAAGTTACTAGATACAATGTGGTAGGAATGAAAATGTTATAATGGATGTGTAGTGAAATACTGTAGATACAATGAGAAATAATTATATTAGAAAGAAAGTTGGAGTAGCACCTATTAAAAATAAGTTACTGAAAATTTTAGTTAGGTGGCTTGGGCATATATAATGGAATATATATGATGTACCAATAATATGAGTAGAATGGATTAATATGGTAGAATCATGAAGAAACATATGTAAATCATCATAAAGTTTAACATTACGCAAAGAAACTGAGCAAGATTTGAGTTAGTATCTTATGTAACACTTACTAGATACGGAAGAAAAAAATAGAGGATTTATAAAGGTGGCCCCAATTTGTTGGGATAAGGCTAATGATGATGCTGAAAGCGATTGCCTGGGGTTTAATCTGGCTTTTAGTTTTAGCCTTAATACACTGGTTCTTAATCAGTTTTTGATCCAGTAGTACCTCATAGTTTGTTCAGGTACTGACATTTTTTTTCCTTCGTTCAGGTTACTTGAGAATCTTGGAGAGCTTCTGTTCATTTATGCTGTTCATTTTTATATCTGCATAATCTATATTTATTTGTTCCCATGTAGTCAATATTTGAGCATCAAATGATATTTCATATTGTATAAATGTCTCTTTTTTTTTTAATCACTCTTACCTATGGCCGAAGAAAGAATACTCATAACAATTTTTCTTCCTTTTTAGCTTTAAGTTTTGCTTATCATGAACCAAGCCAAACTTAAGTTTCTATATATATACTGACCATCCGTTAGACATTACACCAGAAGGGAAGGGAAAGTTTGAAGGAAGATGGTACCTTCACTTGATCAATAATCATTCAATGCTAATATAATTTATAGGATATATCTCCATTGAATAAGCAGCTTTTATGAGTGGTTAAATATTGCAATTTTTTTTCATCGTGTTTCTGCTATTTCTCAAAATATATTATTTCCTGAATGTTTTGTGCATCTTTAGAAAGTTCAAAATGGGTGGCTGAGTTTGAGATTTAATTTCCACTAAATTTTACATAAAGAGACAACTTATCTGAACAATAATTTATCATTTTTTCAATTCAAATTGATGAAGTTTCTTGTTTTTAACCATTTCTTTTAAGACCCACAGTCTGCAGTTTTGTGAAAAGGCAATGTTCAAGCAATGAAGATTTCAGCTTTTAAGTGTTAGTTCGAGACAGCAGAACTGGGCCTTCTTATCGGGACATGCCAATACTTGAAATAGTTATTTGCGTTGATGCTTTATGGAAAATTATTATCTAGTTCCTTTTTTTTCCATGATGGCATCACAAAAACTTTGAAATACGTCATTATGTAACCTTGCTTTCTATCAAATGGTTGCGCCAAGTCATGTATTTTTCTTATGGTTGTAGTTATTGTTATGTTTCTTGAAACTATTTATTGGTATGTTTCAACAGTATGCACTGTGTTATTTGGTTGTCTTCCTTATTTGCGTAGAATATACACAACTTTGGTTGGTCATCTTTCTTTAACAAAGTTTTAAGTAGGCCTGATAATTCTGTGGAGGTAGTTGGTCAACATGCAAAATCAGATATATCATCAATAAGTTTTGATACATCATCATGAAATTATCTTGATCGGGCACGAATCTCGGCGCAAAAATCAAGCCGGAAACTTCAAAAATTAAATCCGAGAGCACCTAAACTCCGATTTCAACGAGCTTACAGTCGAACTGAGCGTCTCAGAAATACGAAGCCAACAACACCAAATTCAACTAAATCCGAGCCCAAATGAGCCCAAATCGAGCACCCAAAGCGCTGTTGGAAAGCTCGTACCACAAATTGAGTTGCTAAACGGTCTCCGATTTTGACGAGCTTATAGTCGAATCGAGCGGCTCAACGAGACGAATCCAACGAGCCCAAGATCGCCAAATTCTGACATCATTAAGGCCTTCGAATGTCTGACGAACGGTACATGATCAAAGGATTCAATATCGGTCGTCCATTCGAACCACTCCATAATTGCCCCTGATCCCTCATCTATTTACGGGTTATGCCACTCCAGAAAATCTATAAATAGACCCCTCATTTCTCATGAGAGGGGGACAGAAGCAAGAAGAAGAAGAAGAGAGGAATAGGAGGGAAGAGACTCCTCCTTGACCACCGCCGGAGTTCCGCCCGAACTCCAAATGACGTCGGAATTCTGTCCGACTTCTACGAGGCGCCAGAATTCTGCCCGACTTTCACGGGATGCTAAAATTCTTCCCAATTAACAACAAAGTTCTCTCCTGACGCCGAAACTTCGCCTAAGTGATGCCAGAGTTCTCCTCGGCCACCAACATACGTCGGACTTCTACCCGACGTCGGACCTTCACTCTTCACCAAGTTTCTACCCGACGCCGGACTTCTACCAGTTATCAAACTTTCGCTGGACGTATATCTGAAGATGGATTTCTTTCCATTGTTGGACTTCTACGCCGTCCTTCTGACCTTCATCGTCAGACACAGTCCTTCCAGCCTCCGTCGCAAGACAACGGTCCTTCCGACCTCTGTTGCCAGCCGACTACGGTTCTCCTGACTTATGTCGTCCGCAGGCTACAGCCTTTCTGACCTCCGTCACCAGACTATGGTCCTCCCGACCAAACAAACAAGTCAATAGTGATTCTTTGTATTCTCATAATGTGATGTACTCTATAAGATGTACATCAAGATAAGGCCTTCTCCCAAGGAAGGGTCTCATTTGTAATCAACTGCAATACTAGTGGATTCATTCAAACTGGGCTAGGCCCCGTGGTTTTTCCCCATTTTTAGGGGTTTTCCACATAAAAATATTGGTGTCTCATGTGAATGCTACACACTCTCTCTTATCTGATTGTGTGTCGGATTTTCGTACAACGCTAAGACATTAATTTTATATTTCTCTACCGCCGCAAATACTCCTGGACGCAACAAGTTTATTACTATTTCAACATCTATTGTAATTTCGCTAGTACATTTTAAATTGCCTTTTATTGGTTGGCATAATGAAATATACAATTTCAACTAGTCAAGAAGTATGAGTTATACAATGAAAGATTTGAAAAGCTCTGTTTTTACCTCATGTATCATCTATTCATGATAAATTCAAGCAAAGATACTTATTTTTGTTTATTGAGCAGTAAGATTTAAGGATTTGCATGATGTAATCATTGATGATTCTTAGTGCATTCACCATCATTGATAGAAAATTTTTATGCGCATATATTTAGGAGATGTAATTATTTAATAGTAAAATGTACATTTTACTTAGTGATCTAGGAAGTTCTTCCTAATATTATCAATAGGAAACCAAATTAGATATATTAGCTCTGTGATTTCATAACGTATTCTGTAGAGTATGATAAAAAAATTTTATGCGTTTGACTTTTTACTTAAAGATTATGGAAGATTAATTTTGGCCGCTGACTTTTACCTTTCCAAATGAATTAAGCATTATTTGAAATGATTTGGAAAAGTCAGTCTAGCTAGAGCCAGATCATACCCAACAAAATTCTAGAGTATTTTATGGGTATGTTAAATTCTTACAATGAATACCTTAAACTTGAAATAACTTAAATTTTGGGGGGAAAAATGCAATAGCAATCCATGTGAACAGTAATTCATATTTTGAAATGAGGCACTAATCCAAATATTTCATGGTTGACTGAGAAAGTTCATAATATATAAAAGATAAGTTAAAATTAAAGAAATAGATGGAAATTTGACTTCTTCACCTAGGTTATACCGACTTTCTTGCCAATAAAAAAAAAAACCCTAAGATGCAATCCCACAAAAACTGTAGCTTCCTATAGTGTACCCTCTAAAAGCTTGCAGAAGTATAATCAATTTTATCATTCAGGTGAAAGAAGCAGTTTACATTAGCATTGTTCGGCCTACAAGAAAGGCACAGAAGATTCTCCTTTGTGGATGGCGACGGGACATAGATGATATGATTGTGGTAAGTTTATTCTTTCAAAGTCTCTAATTTCTTCTTCTTCTCCCATCAATTATGCAGGTCTATGGAGGGCATCTTCCTAGAGATTTTACCATCCCAAAGTCTCCTGAAAAGATACTTTTCTGTGGTTGGCGACGAGATATAGAAGATATGATTATGGTAACTCTATATGGATCCAGTAAATCCACCATCAATTCAATGAATGACTCCTGTCCCAGTAGATGTAAGAGGGATTTCTGGAACTACTGAGGGGAAAATATATTTTTTTTCTCTTTTGGAAGATAGAAAATGTGTTTTTCTTAAGATTCCTATAAAAGTTAAGGCTCATGGTAATAAGGCTAGAAATCCTTGGCGAGAAAACTTTTTCATCTCGATCTAAAGATAAAATAAAATAAGCAATGCAGCTATACTAGCAGATTTGCTTGCATATTTTGCATCCAATGTTATAGAGTGTTCAAAGTTTCATTTATTTTAGTGAGGCATTTTGTTCATTTAAATTTTAATAGTTCAGATTACCCTCCTATATTTCTTTAATATCGAGCTTCTTTCAATGATTCTTGTGAACTAAACAATTTTGCTCCGACTATATCTTGTTTAGTTCAATTCTATGCCATAAAGACTTTCTTTACTCTTCTTCTTGAAGGTCATCTTTGAATTTAATAAAAAGTAGAAACATATATGGATTTTATATTTTATCACTTGGGGTACATAAAAAGCTTAAAATATGATGCTATTATCTGCATAAAATTTATTGCAGTTCATTAGTTCTTGTAATGATTTGATGAGGATTGATATCTCTAATTCTCTACTTCTAGGTGTTGGATGCCTTTTTGGCTCCTGAATCGGAGCTGTGGATGTTCAATGAAGTTCCTGAGAGTGACAGAGAAAAAAAGTTAATTGATGGTGGCCTTGATTTCATCCGACTGGAAAACATCTCTCTGGTCCATCGTGAAGGAAATGCTGTCATTCGTAGGCATTTGGAGAGCCTACCCTTAGAATCATTTGATTCTGTAAGTTTTTATACAAAAAAAAAAATGATATTTTGAATTTTTTTCTTAAACAATATCTGCAGGATTATCAGAATATTTTTTGAGGCCAGACATGCTTATAAGCTACCATTCCTGTTATGAGCCAATGTTTATGTTGTTATGTGAACAACTTCATGCAGATTTTGATTTTAGCTGATGAATCTGTGGAAGACTCTGCCATGCAAGCCGATTCTCGATCACTTGCAACCTTATTATTGATTAGAGATATTCAGGTAAATCTAATTTCACTCTCCTTTTAATCAGATTTATATGGAGGTCTTTTGTTGTTGCTTTTTATTTATTGTAACCTATATAGAATGTATCAATATACTAAAAGTTGTTGTATGCCAGTGGCTGCCTCATAGTGCCGTACCATTTTGAAAGAGTCCATTAATTGCTCTGGGATATTCCTTGCACATAATGACACAAATAACCTTGGGGGGTCCCCATGAGAGTTTCAATTCCTATATTAGAGATATGACCTTGGAAGCAATGGGGATTTTCCATCTGAATTACCTATTCCTTTTTGGGGGTTATTTTGGCAGTCAATGCTACTTCAATAATTTAATAAAATTCAGGATATGGAACTAGGCCATGATGTTTCTGCAAAATAATATTGGGCTCATAACTACTGTAAGGAAAGTTTATTTGATAATTCAACATAGCAAAGGGCGTTGAGCTACTTGGAAGGGAAAAGTTATACTCATGTGGATGATGAACATATATCTCCTTACCTCGTGAGAACTTTTGGAAGGTAGACTGAGTAGTGCATCACAAAGATTTCCTGTTGAAAGAAATAGATATTCAAATATGATTTATAGTAAATATGAGAGTTGAGGTTTTTTCCTATAGAAGCAATCCTGTGGTTAATTTCATTCTGTGCATGATAACAAAAAAAAAGAAAAAGATTAAAGAGCTTGCTTTGTGTTCAACATATTCACTAAAAAACCTTAAGCCATGATGGCTTTCTTATATAATTGTTTGTTCTATTTAAGAGCGATGTGCTAGAGCTCAGCTTAGAAATTAAGAAATATAGTTGATAAGTAATGATTCTAAATCTTTGTGTCTGTGAAGCTAGTGGAATAGGCAACCTTGAAATTGATAAGGCCGGGGACTCTAAAGCTTTGAGTGGACTCTTTCAATATGGAAATGAGCATACAGAGTTTAGGATATGTTCTATATATGGTGAAGGAAGGTGATGAGCATTGATAGGGTCTGAGAACCATATATAGTGAGTATGAAGACACCTTTTTTAAGGAATTTTATTGGTTTCATAAAAGAAATATAAAAAATCTAGAACTTATGAAAACATATATTTTGAACTAAAATTATCACCCCAATTAATGGAGGACTCATAAAGCTGAACTAAAATAGTTGGAATGAAACTAATAGTATGATTATAATATTGATGATGTTGTAAAAATTTGCAGGCTAGGCGGCTTCCTTTCAAAGAAGCGATGGTTTCACATATCCATCCTGTTAGTTTCTTCCAGGGCTCTTGGATAGGAGAAATGCAACAAGCTTCTGATAACTCGGTAATAATCAGTGAAATTCTGGATCCAAGGACCAAAAATTTATTAACTATGTCCAAGATAAGTGACTATGTTCTTTCAAATGAATTGGTGAGCATGGCATTAGCGATGGTTGCTGAGGATCGGCAAATAAATGATGTTCTGGAAGAGCTTTTTGCTGAAGAGGTACAGCCATTTCCTGGTTAAAATGCTTAATTGAATTCTCATTTATTATAATTATTGTACTCATGTAAGTATTTTACTATCATGAGAAACATATAGTTATATCGGGAAGTTTTGTGCGCAGCTAAAAATGAATTCAAAATATAAATAAAATATATATTTTAATTGATTCAAACTTTCTACTATTTTCTTCTTTGATTTATGGCACATTGATTCCTTGAATGTCTGAAGATTTTCAAGAGGCTCTTTTCAAAATATTTTAGCATTTTTCTGGCTTGATTAGAAATAAAAAACCTGGGGATGCCATTAAAATGTAATATACATCTCTATGTAATTAAAAATATTCTTTTATTATTAATATTTAAATATTTATTACATTATCATGATTCAACCCGTCAAATTGCTATTGAATTTTTGAACCTTAAACCTTTTTTTTTTCTGTTCCCAGTGTCTGGTCCAATTAAGAAAACCTTGAATATTACATCATCATACAGCTAAAGTTAGCATCCATGAATTTATCTTTTTTTTTTTTTTTAGTTTTGTGCTCCATTTTATGTGGAGCTATCCTTTTTTTTTTTTTGGGAGGTTGGCAGAGTTGAGAACTCGGTTCAGTTTTCGAAGTTATTGTCTTGTTTTTAATATCTAATATAGCACGGAGACAAACTCATTTTTGTCTGTTGGGTGGGAGCTTAGGCTATCAACTAAGAGGTTTTGGATTCGAATTTTGTGTATGTGATGAATGTGTGAGCAGTGGCGGATCCATCCCTTTTTTTCAGGGTGGGCAAAGTCGACACGTTCTTTTCGCTTCAAAAATCTCGACACGTTCTTTTCGCTTCAAAAATCGTTCCATTTTTCAAAAACCTAGTAAAAGAATTGCAAAAAACATCAAGGATACTATTATAATGTTTTTATGTTCTTATCAAATAAGCAAACACACTCACCAAATAAAGAGAACTTCCTAATATGATATTTTACTACAGTTATTGTGGCAAAATACCAAACAAAAATAAGCACTAGTAATGTCGATCCAAGAGAACAAATTGACTAGTAAAATATGACAGTCTTTATAAACATAATCAATATCTTCAAAGCAAACAAAAAGAGAACAAATTGACTGTAATTATATGCAACTGAAGCAGAAGTGCAGAAGTCTATTAAACAAACTCAAATCTTTTAGCATAGTTTGGTAACAATACCTCAAAAATGTAGATGGGAACAAGTTCAATATTCACACCAATGCCAAGGCCAACAAGAAATCGTCTCCAAAGCTGCAACTGCAAAGCATTTCATATAAAAAGTGAGCTTGTGCGATGAAGAAAATCAAATTGAAATTAAGAGTTCATCAAAAGTCAAGACTAAATATCAATATAATATAAATAAGAGTTCATAAAAAAATTGGAGCTGCACCCTATTTTGGAAGAAGAGGCAAATGGGATACAATTATTAAAGAGAAAAATATCAAAATTTCACTCTTTAAATTGCACTTATTCTGAATAGCAATAGGTTCAGAAGTTCCAAATAAAAAATGCAGCATCTATTTTGAATAGCATAAAGAGTGAGCTGTGAGCTTGTGCTTCAGGAATCAGGAAACCGAGAGCTTAAGCTGGGACTGATGTCTGAGCAGAGTAAGAGATAGCACCGGGCCGCCGGCGAAGAGGCGGACGTTGCGATTCACGAATTGAGACGGAGAGCGACTGGGAATTTGGGAAGAAGAGGGCTGGAGGTTGCGTCGTTGCCAATGCGAGATTGCTGTAAGAGATTGGTCGGAAGAAGAGGTTGCCGAGTGCCGACTGAGAGAGGGGCGATGCTCGCTGCGAAAAGGAGCTTTCGATGTCTTGCCCGCGTTTTGTGAAATATTGTGGCTGGGGCTGGGCAGGATTCATAAGTTAGGGCAAAAGTTAGTATTTTAGGGGGGGCAAAATACCAAAATTAGCCTTTCTACAATTTCTTTTTTTCTTTTGAGGGTGGGCATTTGCCCACCCTGAGAGAACCGTGGATCAGCCAGTGTGTGTGAGTCTACATTAATTGGCCTAAATGTCCCAAAAAAAAAATATAGCACGGAGTGTAGTAGCGATATGATTTTGTTATGCTATTTGAATTCTTAGTCAGGTCAATATGCATCTTTTATATTTCACAGTTCCCTTTGCAGACCATTCTGCCTGTTGCCTTTTATATTTTACAATCTGGGGAGGGAGCAGGTTACTTCATCAACTGCCTCTCCTGTTTTTGTTTTTTTTTTGTTTCCTTTGGGATATCACAGAAGACTGAAGGTTAATAAACATCAAATGAAGATAGTACATAATTTATTAAACCCCTTCTGAGTCTTATCATATTTTCAGCTTTTGACTATCCATACGTTTGCCATAATTGTGATAGCAGAATTATCCGGCAATTCCAATCATCTTTATCTTTTTTGAACTTCTCTTATAAAATCTTTCAACATTTCTGTAGGGAAATGAAATGCAGATTCGATCATCTGACCTCTACCTTCGTGAAGAGGAAGAACTGAACTTCTATGAAATTATTCTACGAGGCCGGCAGAGGAAGGAGATAGTAATCGGCTATCGACTTGCTGATGCAGAGCGAGCCGTCATCAACCCTCCAGCAAAAGATGCTCGGCGCAAGTGGTCTTATAAGGATGTTTTCATTGTGATTACTGTGAAGGACTGAAACATCTCAGCATACTATGCTCTGCATCTTAAAAAAAGGAGTCATTGCTCTAACACTTCTCTTTCCTGAAGGACCTACAAGAACTAAGACAAGGGCCAAAATATAGGCTTCGTTTGGGATGACTTTCTTACTGATTCTCACAACAGCTTTCTAGTAGAAAAAATTAAACTAAAAAGCTGTTTTGAGAAGTAGTAAGAAAGCGGTCCCAAACAAAACCGTAGTTTGTCAAAGCTAACACCTAATACTTGTTCCCTTAAGATAAAGTAGAAGATGCAGCTGTAAGAGTTGCTGATATTGTGAATTTCTGTATATTTTTTGTAACTTTTGCAGCAATAAAAATGGTTTTTTTGTTAGCTTGTTCTATTATGCAAATGCATATGCTAAGTCAAAAGAAGAGCTCCAAGCAGTTTATTGGCAGTACTGCACTGTGGTTGATTCTTGAAAATTACTGGTGTTATTGATCAATCAGAAAAAAAAAAACTGTAGCTATGAGAGTGATTCTTAGAAAAGGATGAAGAATGATATCTCCAGAACAAATTTTTCTGTATAAAAATTCAAATTATTATAATAAATCAGTACTGCGACTTTGCTCAATAAACAATTTAGATAAAAATAAGAAGTTGATTATCTAAGAATTATTTGTTGACGTTTGGTTCCACACTATTTCTCCGACAATAAAAAATAAAATCTTATTCCTCCAATCTCATCAACAATTGCATCAATGCGTCTTAATTGTTAATTGTTGTAAAAATTATTCTGTGGATACTGATTTGTCTGGAGATGAATCAGAATGTATCATGTCACACAGTAAATAGCCACGGTACAAATCAAAAAAATGACATGATACATTCTAATTCATCTTAGGACGGCATTGGTATCCGCACGGAATAAATTTTTGGATTGTTGGAGAAATTATCCATGGAAACTGTAATCTTCTTATCTACAACTGCACCAATGGAAGCTGTTTTAAATCATGAATGGGTCCCACCATTCCTCCTAAAAAAAAAACCTAATCCAAGGAAACTTAAAAGCCTCTTAAAGTATATCATTTTGCTTCTTTTCTCATTAGAAAAGAGCCTCAAATCAAACCATGTCAGTACCACTTCCTGCTTCTGTTCCAAAACCAATCTCAGAATTTGCTGTGAAGAAAACTTGCTTTCAGTTCCAGCGAAGAAGGTATTGCTTTCATATCTGATCTTCTGAGTTAAATATGATTGTTCATATTTGACTCATTAAATTTATGAGATTTAAAAAATTAGTCAAACTTATCGATCCGAATGAGATTGAACGTAAAAATTGAGTTTTTTTTTTTTTTTTAAATGCTGCATTTCATTGAAGCTTTTTGGGACACAATATACTAATAAACTTTTTTGCTTTGAACGTAGATTAGTATTCTATGGTTTGATTGGTGCTGGGATGGGTTTATCGGCATCTTCTGATGAAGCTAGTGCGGCTAAGAGGCGGCCGCCGCCGCCGCCGCCGACTGAGAAGAAAGATCTGAATGTGAGTGGTGTGCAGGCTAAGGTTCTTGCTAGCAAGAAGAGGAAGGAGGAATTTAAGGAGGAAATTGCTAGGCTAAGAGAGAGGGGGAAGACAAACTAGTTGAAGCTTTTTTTTTTCTCTGAAATGTGGTATCAGATTTGAGAGTTTTTTTTCTTCTTCTTTGCATGACTCAAGATTGTTTTTCATAATGAAAATTATTCATCTAATCTTGTTATTTTTTTTTGATAAATATGATTTAAAAATTGTGTAAACTAATGCATAAGGCTTATTATAATTTATGTTTAAGCAGTTAAATTATGAACATTCTTAATATATGTCATAATAACGGCTCAAAGTTATTGATATGATTCACATTTGAAAAAGGCTAAAGTGGATATGATGCTTTGCTTTTAGTATAAAAAAGGAGATTTCCCCCTTTTTATGTTCTAAAAACATAATGCAATAAGTTTTTGGGGCTCTGCAAAGGCTCTTTTGGCTCATTAATTTTCCATTGAAATTAGAAGTCTTATTAAAATAAATAAGTAAAATTTGTTAAAATTATTATTTGATTAAATATAATGAGACTAATAATGAGATTAATATTGATTTAAAATTCTACAAATCTTCTCAAAATCTTATAAAAATGAGAATTTTAATTTTATACTAAGAATAAAATCCTCATGTATACTTGCATATGTTTTCACAAGTATTTGGCAGGTAATTGACAAGTTACAAAGAGATGACTCATAGCATATGAGCCCCACAGTGAAACTCGCCCAAAGAACATTAGACCCACTCATTCGAGCCTACGAAGTAAGGTTGCACCTCTCGTGGACAACAAAGGAGCTCACAAACCAAACAACTCGCCTCTCCTCTCACTAAAGAAAGGCAGCCATCACATCAACTCACCCCCGCCCGGGGTGGGTGCATTCGCCAGCCACATGCAAGTCTGATTAAATTAAAACACCTTCTCCGAGAGCTCTCAACTACACATCTCTCCTTGGCCTATTGGTTGAGAGCTTAGGCTTTCAACTAAGAGGTCCAAGGTTCGAGTCTATGTGTATGCGTTGTGTGTGTGAGTTTGCCTTAAATGACCTAAATGTCAAAAAAAAAAAAAAAAGAGAGCTCTTAACTCATCATATAGTGACCAATCGATTATTGAGTCTATTCTCTCTCTAAAGCATCAATTAAACTGACTTCTCCTCTAAGTGATCCAAGACTCGGGACGAGAGATTCTGGACCCACTTGCTAAAAATGGTTGTCCCATATGAGAGGTTGTAAGGCACTGTACATGAATATATTGAAATGTATAATCAAAGTTTTTAGTTTTCTATGTTTGAAGTGGCGTTCTCCAATAGAACAAGAGACCCATTCTTTTCACTTCAGATGAGAAAATGAGGAAAATTAAAATTTAATTATTTAAATTGGGGACCACGACCCCATTTATACTTTAAATATATTTATTTTATTTTAGTATATGATTAAAATAAAATAAATACTTGATATTTACACAATACTGTTCGCACCTCTGGTCATCGATAGTTTGTCGGAGGAAAAATGTCGCTTCTTCAATCGACAGTTCCCGCCTTCTTTTCCCTTCTCCACTTCAATCGCCCGAAACACTGTGAAGTACCTGATTCTCCGATCACAATCCCTACTCCCCAAAAACCTCGGCAAAGCTCTAAGCTCTATCTTCGCCTATCAGCTTCTTCCGCTCAGCCTAATTCGGAGCAAAACCCCAATTCCGACCCTAATCCAACCCCTAAAAAGAGAGGCCGTCCCCCCAAGCCTAAAGTCCCCCCGGAGACATCCACATCCTCTGGATTGAGTGATGACTTTCCGACAACGATCCCCCGTAAGCCCCGGCGCGGGCGGCGGAGCGAGGCGGTGGCGGTCGAGGACTACGTTCGGGGGAGGCTGGAGCAGATTTTTTCCTCCATTAGAGAGCATAATGCTGATGTTCTTGAGGGGAAAGAAGAAGTTTTGAAGCCGAGAGTTCAGGAGGCGGAGGAGGATGGGGAGAAGGTGCACGTGGTGGAAGAGGAGGATCCAAAGTGGCCGCTGGATGCTGATGTAGGATGGGGTGTAAGAGCATCGGAGTACTTCGAGAAGCATCCAATCAAGAATGTGGTGGTGGATGGCGTCGACATTGATTGGGAGGGGGAGATGGATGAAGGATGGGTGCAAGAGATTACTTGCTTGGAGTGGGAGAGCTTTGCTTTTCATCCCAGCCCTCTTATCGTTCTTGTCTTTGAACGTTACAATAGGTGGGAGAATTTTTCTAACGCTATTATTTATATATTGTTTTTGATGAAAATTATGAAATTTCTTCACATGATTATTCAATTGGTTAGTTTTTTTTTTAATGAAAAATGACATTTAGGAAGGATAAATTGATAAACAATTATTATAACAAAACTATAGGATTGGCATCTATTTAAGTTAAGATTACTGAAAATAGGCTTAGGTTTTCTTAACATGTCCATTGATGGTTATAAAATGCATCCATTAGATGGGTTAATAAAATTAATATCTGTTGATTCGTTAAGGAGTAGGCTTAAGATGTCATGGATTGCATTTTTAATAGGATTTTTAAAGAAATCTAAGGTTTTAAAATTCAACATGGCCAAACTCTAATTTGGATATTCTCAACTTTTTTTATTTCAACTTTATTGCTTCGTTTGGGACAGATTTTTTGTTGCCTTTTAAAACAACTTTTTAATAAAAAAAGAAATTTTTTTAATTAAAAAACTACTTTGAGAAGCAATAAGAAAGCCGTTCCAAACGAAGGCTAAATCTCATGGCTGCATCTTTTTATGATGTAGTAAACTGTTTTGAACAGGGCAGCTGATAACTGGAAGCTTTTGAAGGAATTAGAGAAGGCAGCCAAGGTGTACTGGAGTGCCAAAGATCGTTTGCCCCCAAGGGTATACTATTTTCCTCTTTGATTTTAAATTAGTATCATATATTTCATTGAATGTTATTGTGACCTGTAGACTATCAAGATTGACATGAACATTGAGACCGACTTGGCTTATGCTCTGAAAGTTAGAGAATGTCCACAACTATTGTTCTTAAAGGGAAACAGGATTGTGTATAGGGAAAAAGGTTTGATCTTTGGCTTCGTTTGGAATGACTTTCTTACTGCTTCTTAAAACAGTTTTTCAGTACAAAAATTAAATTTTTTAATAGAAAGCTGCTTTAAACATGAAATTTCAGGTTCAATAATTGCCACTGCTATAACCTTATTTTCCTCCTTTCCTTTTCTTTTCAGAAATGAGAACAGCAGATGAATTAGTACATATGATTGCTCATTTCTATTACAATGCTAAGAGACCTTCATGTGTTGATCCAGCAGCAGTAGCCCCCTTTTAACTTTACTAATGTGCTCTGAAAAGGCTTGTCGATCCTATAAATATTGCAGTTTTTTGTATAATTTGCTCTCTTCTTCTCCCAAAAGTCGGATTTTATATGATAATAACAGGTATACCACTTCTCAATTGCAACATGATATTAGCAATTTTATGCACTTTTAGTTCCTCTGAAAAGCAGTACAGTAAATCAATAAGATTGGCTATGTTTTCCTTTGCTTATTTACACTATTCTACAGGGTCTTTTAGCTTGGAATTGGCCATAAATTGCTGTAGCAGCAGCTTTATCATCCTTAAGGCTTTGTTTGGGACAGTTTTTTATTGCTTCTTAAAGCTGTTTTTTAATAAAAAAATTAAAAATTTTATACTATAAAGCCGCTTTGAGAAGCAGTAAGAAAGCCGTCCCAAAAGAAGCCTAACTCTGGTTAGATTCAGATTCATGAATAAGTAATCGCTCCATACATACATTAAAGCTTCGTTTGGGATGACTTTCTTACTGCTTCTTAAAGCGGCTTTTAAGTATAAATTTTTTTAATTTTTGTACTAGAAAGCCGCTTTAAGAAGCAATAAAAAAGCCGTCCGGGACGGCTTTTTTACTTCTTCTTAAAATTACTTTCTAGTATAAAGTTTTTAATTTTTATACTAGAAAGTTGTTTTAAGAAGCATGAATAAAATCGTCCCAAACAAAGCATAAATTTCCTGTTTAAGTATTGTAAGACATTATCATAATTGATCCTTTCTGTTAACTCCTCTGAATACTGGTTGTCTTGAGACTTGAGCTATGAGATCTACGAACAAACTGCTTGACTGCTTTCGTAGAGAGCTTGTACTTTGAAGATTAAGTTATTTTTCATCAATTGTATTTTGAGTTATGAATTATTACGCCTTTCACCCCTCTCCTTACTGTATCTATCTATGATATAATAAATGCTTCACTTATTCATAAATTGTCTTTAGCTTTATAAAATATAGAAGTTATTGAAATAAAGATTATTGATTTGTTTGGGATAGGTTTTTGCAGATAATTGTCATGATTATATTTAGCTTTAACTTTTTATTTTTTAGAATTTATGTAGTGAGAAGTAGTTTTTTTGTAATTATGTTAAAATATGATAACAGTAAGAAAGCAACTATTTAATTTTTCAGATTAAGGCTTCGTTTGGGAAGGCTTTTTTATTGATTCTTAAAACAGCTTTCGAGTAGAAAAGTTTTATTTTTTTATTAAAATTTGCTTTAAAAAGCAGTAAGAAAGCCGCCTCAAACGAAGCCCAAGGCTTCATTTGGGACGGCTTTTTTACTGCTCCTTAAAGCAACTTTCTTGTACAAAAAAGTTATTTTAAGAAGCAGTAACAAAGCCGTATCAAATGAAGTCTTATGCTTTGTTTGTGATAGTTTTTTATTGCTTTTTAAAGTAACTTTTTAGTAATAATAAAACAATTTGTATTAAAAAACTGTTTTAGAAAGTAATACAAAAGTTGTTCCAAATGAAATCTAAGATTAATATAAGTATATAAAACCCTCAATAGATTTCAAAAAGTATATTCTTTTTTGCATGAACCCTAAGAGAAAGCATCTCCATAAGTGTATGCTCTATTATTCTTTGTTAAATAGATATTTTTATTGTTGCATCCTGGAATATTCGTGGCTGTAGAGAAGTATATAGTTTAACGTCTTAGCGTTGTACGAAGATCCAGCATACAAGCATATGAAAGAGAGAGGGTGTAGCATTTATATGAGACCAGCGTTTTTATATGAAAACTCCTAAAAAAGGGGAAAAATCACAGGGTCTGGCCTAATTTGAAAAAATCCACTAGTATTTGCAATTGATTATAAATGAAGCTCTTCCTTGGGAGAAGGTCTTGGCTTGATGTCATAAATGCACATCATATAGAGCACATTACATGGTGAGAGTTAACAATAATCAACATAGGCATATTTGGTTGGCAGGACCATAGTCGATATGACAGAGGTCGAAAAGATCATAGTAGGATACGAAAGTTGAAAGGACCATAGTCGGCAGGAGGCTGGGGTCAGAAAGACCGTCGTTTGGCGAGGGAGGTCGGAAGGATCGTAATCGACAGGAGACTGGGGTTAGAAAGACTGTTGTCTGGCGAGGGAGGTCGGAAGGACCGTAGTCAGCAGGAGACTGGGGTCAGAGAAATCGTTGGCTGGCGAGGGAGGTTGGAAGAACCGTAATAGGCGACGGAGGTCAGAAGGACCGTAGTCGGTAGGAGACTGGACCATAAAGACCATTGTCTGGCGAGGACCGTAGTCGACAAAAGACTGGGGTCAGAAAGACCATAGTAGTAGGGCGCTACTCAGGCAGAACTCCGTGCTTCATGTGGTGGTCGGGCAGAAGTCTAGGCCTCAGGTGGTGGTACGACATCACTCCGGTGTCAGGCGGTGGTCTGGTAGTGGCACTTCAGCGTCAGGGGGCACTCTGGCTTCGGATGGCACTTCAACATCCTTGGATGGTTTGGCGGTGGTTATACATAACCTAGTGGTGGTGCAACAGAACTCCGGTGGTGGTGCGATAGAACTCCGACAGTTGTAGAGGAGGAGCTAGACAGCTGGAGCTTTCTTCCTTCGCTTCCTTCTTCTCTTTTGGCTCTTCCCCCTCTATTTTAAGAGGAAATGTGGTTCTATTTAGATAATTCTTGAGTGACATGACTTGTAAATAAGTGAAAGATCAAGAGTAAATGGGGAGTGGTTCGGATGGACGACCGATTTTGATTCATGCGATCATGCACCGTGCAATGGTCCTTTGACTATCTTAATGATATAAGAATTTGATGTTTTTGGGCTAGTTGGATTTGTCTCGTCGAGCCGCTCGATTCGACCATAAGCATGTCACGATTGAAGACCATTTGGTAACCCAAATTGTGTTTTGATCCTTCCAAAAATGCTTCGAGTCTTTGATTTGGACTCACTTGGGCTCGGATTGGGTCAATTTTGGTGTCGTTGGGTTCGTGTTTCTGAGACGCTCAGTTTGACCGTAAGTATGCATAAATCAAAGTTCGAATGGTCTCAATTTTAATTCTTGAAGCTTCCAACTTGATTTTACTTTTAAATTCATGCCTAATCAAGACAATTTTTTGATGATGTATCAATTATAATATTAAAAGTATCTTTTAGTTGATTTAATGTACTTTACTAAATATATATGTATTTGATTTATTATTGTTAACAAGTAGCTTGATATCCGGATGCGTCATGTTCATAAGATGGTAATGTTATTAAAATATTTATAATTTAAAAATTATAATACATATAATAATTGGTAATTTTTAATAGTACTGCCCCCTGCCAACTAATACTCTAATACTCTCTTTGACATGTCAAAGATTCGCATCTAATTACAAATGTTACTAGCGATAAGTCCAAACAGGCGCGACTGATTTGGAATCAATCAGCCTCGAGTTCAGTTTTGAGTGGGGTAAGTTCTCTTAAAATTTTTATCATTTAAATATCTTGATTAACTCTTGATATATCATCAAAAAATTATGTTTTGATCAGACACGAATCTCGAGGAAAAATCAAGTTGGAATTTTTAAAAATTAAATTGGAGATCATTTGAACTTTGATTTCAGCAAACTTATTGAACGTCTCAAAAAATACGAACCCAACGAAACCAAATTCGACTCTATCCGAGCCCAAATGAGTCTAAATCAAAGACTTGAAGCGCATTTGGAAGGTTCAATCCATAATTTGGATTATCAAATAGCTTTCAAACGTGACATGCTTATAGTCGAATTGAGCTGCTCGATGAGATGAATCCAAAGAGCCCAAAATCACTGAATTATGATATCACTAAGACATTCAAAATGCCCAGTAAACGATCCATGATCAAGGGAATCAACATCAACCGTACATGCAAACCACTCCCAAAAACCCTTAATCTTCATCCTATTAACTAGCAATGCCACTCTAGGAAATCTATAAACAGACCCCTCACTTCTTATGAAAGGGACCCCGATCAAGGAAGCAAGAAAGAGATCGGAGATCGCTCTTACCACCTAGCTCCTCCTTGACCACCGCCTGACGCTAGACTTCTGCTGAACCAACGGCTAACACCAGAATTCTGCTGGACTTCTGCCGAACCAGTGTCTGACGCCAGACTTTCGCCGGACCACAAATTGATGCTCAGACTTCCGCCGGACCACCAACTAACGTCAGACTTCCGCCTGACCAAACGTTGTCAGAGTTGCGTCTGACCTCCATTTGTCACTAGATTTCAACCATACAGTTGATAATTATAAAATGATCGTCCTCAAGTACGATTCAACCAACTGTAATATACTCAAACACTAGTGGAACCATTTCAGTTGGGAGTGACCCCGTGATTTTTCTTATATTCAGGATTTTTCACGTAAAAAATCTTGTGTTCTCTGTTTGCGTGCTAGATATTCGTACAACGCTAAGATGTAAAATTCTGATTCTACTGACACGTATATTCTAACCCGCGACAACTCTTTTTGGCCATAATTATCATGGTACTTATTTGTTAAAAATGTGATAATCATTGTACTTATAAGATCTAAATCCTACTAAAGTGTATTATGATCTATATAGAAAAGTAATTTATAATTTTTATATAAACTTCTTGTAGTTTATTTATTCCGATTATTTTGTTATTTATAAATAAGCGCGCGGCATTTCTCATAAAAAATTTGAGTTTTTTTTTTTTAATTTATTTAATAAATGAAGCTTCACTAAGCTTAACATTAATAAATTTTACTTTTAACGATCGGTTTCAGTGTTTCACTAATATCATTTATTTTAATAAATTAATTAAGTATTATTATTTTCTCTCAATGAGCGGAACGAGCCCTTTTTTTATAAATCGCATCCGGCCCATCGCTTTTTCGCTCCTTCCTCGAACTTGATCAACCATCAATGGCTGCTCCAAAAGCAGACGCCGGCGAGGTTTCCCGGAACGATTTTCCCGCTGGCTTCGTCTTCGGGGTCGCTACTTCAGCCTATCAGGTTTACTGCGATCACTCACTCTTTGGCCATTCTCCTTTCAGTCGATCTGTTGAAACCTCATTCGTCTACCATTTTAGGACTTGGTCGCGTGTTTACTTTCTTTTTAGTGATCCAATGATGATCGTATTGCAATCGCTCCTCTTAACGGGTTGTTATCTGGTTCCGTTCTCCTTACAAGGCTGTACACTTGGTGTGGGATTGTCTGCAGGGAAGTAAATGAGTAGAAGAGAGATACATGCTGTAAGGGCCTTTTAGAACGTGTAAGTGAACACGGGAAGGGAGAGAGGAAGATACATGCTGCAGTGAAACTTCCGATTTAGGGCCGGCACGTGTTAGTCGTTATCCTGTTGATCTAGATTTGAATATCCTTTTTCGCAAGACTAATTTAGTGGTTTTTGTTTTTCTGATTGGAAATATTTTACCATGGACCTGGTTAGAGGGAAAATCACAGGCCATAAATCTTTTGGTGCAGGCAGGGTTCAAGAAAATAAAAGAGAAAACACAATATCATACCTATATTAAAAATTTATTTTATAACAATGAGCTCACTATCGATCTTAGAAGCTGGGCCTGTTATCGTTAGGGTGTTTCTATTATGAACATTTCATATGTTCCAATCAAGGAATTAGCCTCCCCGGGTTTTCTAGGATCTCATACACTGTATATGCCTTCTTTTATGTTTATGTACTGAATTCAATATAGTTCTATATTTACCATATACGGCTTCTTAAATTGTCTTTAATACCTTTTGAAATTTCTACGGATCCACATGTGCATGATTTATGGCGAACAATAGTTTTTTATCCACTTTTAAGCATCAATTTCCTTGCAGTTTATTTAAGTTTCACATGAAACTAGAGAGAAATAGCTTTTTAGTGAGCAGTCAAATTTTTATAGTATATGTTTTTCTTATAATAGACTTGTGGCTTATGCTCCATCTTTGGTTCAAATTTGTCATCTAACTTTTACCCAAGTTACTAATTTTTAGGTTGAAGGAGCAACCAATGAAGATGGAAAGGGTGATAGCATTTGGGACGTTTTCTCAAGAACAAAAGGTTAACTCTGTTTCTTTCTTCTTCCCTGTTACATTAAGCTGCCTGTCACAACCTCAATTCTAGCTTAATTTCATTTAACTAGGAAATATCAAGGATGGAAGTAATGGAGACATTGCTGTTGACCAATACCATCGCTACAAGGTTAATAACTATTCTTTTTAGCTTTTAATTTTGCAATCCTGTTTCTGAGCTTTAAATTCTAAGAATGCAACTGTGGAAAGCATGTATTTGCTAACAAATACTTGTTTTAGTCAACTGTCTCACCAAAATTTAAGGGATTCATTTAGGATTGATATTAAGTCGAATTTCAGTGAGTTTGCATAACCTTTAAATTGAAAATTTGATTGCTAATTTACTGAAACTTGAAATAAATTTCAAATTGAGCTGATTCAACTCGAAATCAACCGATTTTGATCACTCAAAAATGGATTTTGATTCAACTAAAACATTCAAAATTTTTTGTGTAACTCAAAATTTGTTTTGATTCATACTTGACTCAAACTCCAAATACATTTTGAGTCTAATTGACTCTACTGGAAATCCATTGATTTTTATCAACTCAAAATCAATTTATAGTTGATTCAAAATTCATGAATTGTTTCTGCATCTTAATTTTTTTTTTTTTGACATCAAACAAGCATGTGCTGCATTATTATACTTCTAAATAAATGCCCTTGATCTGTCTATCAACACCATGTCACCAACAAAATAAAATGAAATCAAACATTCCGTATTCTTGTCTAGAACTGAAACACCACCGAGAAATTTATATTTCTTGCATTATAATACTTTATACTTTTGATATGTACATGGAATCAAGGGCGGAACTGTTACAGCCTTAGGGGGGGCAATTGCCCCCCCTCAAAAAAATTTTTTTTTTATAAGGGTTAAAAAAAAAAAAATTTTTAGAAGAGTAAAAAAAAATTTTGCCCCTCCTAAAATTGTTTTTTGCCCCTAAAATTTTTTTTGCCCCTCCTAAAATTTTTTTTGCCCCCCCTAAAAAACTCTTTTATCCTATCTTACCCTAAAATATCTATATATTTATTCACATTTAGTTATAATATTCTTTTTCATATTTTTCATGACTGTTTAATTACATTTTTTTCCTTTAGTTTTCGTGCTTAATTTTTTTTTAAAAAAAATTGTCGTAATATATAGATATATAATAATATTTTTTTAATATTTAATTATTTTTCTGTTGTATTTGCCCCCCCTCAAAATTGAAGTTGGTTCCGCCCCTGCATGGAATGGTGAAAGCAAATATATGAAACATTTTTCTACATTTACTTTATATCTATGATGCACCAACACTTCTCCTCAATGAGGTATGCGGTGTCCGACACATATCGGACACAACACGCTTCCGACACGCCTAAGACGTGTTTGATTAAAAAAATATTTAAAATAAATTGGACACGCATGTCTGACACTCATGCCTTAAATATTTTATGACATTATTTTAATATAATTTCTCATCTTTTTAGTTCTTATTTATTAAAAATAAAAACTTAAATTTTTGTTTCCTCTCAATAACCCCAAATCAATGGACTGCACTAAATACCCCATTCCTCGAACATATCATTTTCATTTCTATCTCTAGATCGCAGCTAGGGTTTCACAATAACGCCTGATGTCATTGCAACATTGACGTCCAACGCCATCACAACATCAATGTTTCAAATCACCTCAAAATAAAAGTTTGACGCTAGCAATTTCTACTCCCACAATCATACCCCTACGTCGTCTCGACATCTCATATTTGACCAACATCATCTCAATATAAATCGACTGATGCTGCCTCGACATCAATTGCTTGATGCTCGACTCTTGATAGCATTGTCATCTCCTCTCTCGATGCTTGAAACACAACATCGACACCCAACTCTCGGCGTCCTAATAGTAATCATTTTAAACACAAATTCTAGTTAAATGATTTATTATTTCTCAATTATTCTTAATACTCTTCTTACTCAATTTCTATACACTAACTTTAAGATATAAAAATTATAATACTGTGTTCAACTTATATCCTTATCCTATATTTTTAATAATTGACGTGTCCCATGTTCATTTCTTATTGTGTCTGTATCGTCGTATCCGTATCCGTGCATCATAGCTTTACATCAATTTATTATAAATTTTTGGATATATGTTTAGGAAAATTATACTTGTGGCTGCAAGAAACATAGTATAGAGGTTCAAGCTTGTGTAATTCATAGAAAACCCAAAATGAAAAAAATTAGGTCATCATATTTCAAGCACAAATGCTTTAGATCAGAAAAGCTATAATGAAGAAATTGAATAATTAAGACATGTAAAAAGAACTTTACATGAAAAGAAGTTGAAAAATATTGTACTTCAAATTCCCTTGCTAAACATAAAATTTTTTATCTTTGTATATCAGCTTGTATGCTTAAATTTTCTTGAAACTCTTGCAAAGTAAGAGTTTGTTTTTAGATTATCGTGAAAAAAATCTCCTATAAGTTGGGATAATTTTAGAAGTTTTTAGTAAAGGTTTGCTGAAATTCCCTCTATAAGATGGGCATTTTGAATTTTAAACTTTGAAGATCGTTGAAATTTTTCCTGCGATACAAGGGGCATTTAATATATTTATTTCGCTTGACATCGTGCATTGTGTTGAGATTTTCAAATAAATATTTAAAATTATTTATACTACAATTTACCTAATCATGCAAGTATGGAGCAAAGGTCTTCTACTAAAATCACCAAAATTTTGAAGTTCTTGAAGTTTTTCATGTGTGATAATCTTAAGAAGCTATAAGAAAGGCCGCATCATAAAACCCCAATTTCGCCACCTCAATGACATAAGCTATCAAGTTCAAAGCCCAAATATAGTTGAGTCGCTAGTAACTTTATTTACTCAACAAGCCATAAGAAAGTCGTAGCACGCAAGCTTCCATTTCGTCAATACGTTGACAAGAGTTGTTAAATTTTAAATTTATTTGGTTCGATGAATTCAAGTAGCCCAAATCAAATAATACTTCTCAATTGGTCAAAAGGTCAAGATAATGCTGAAAGGATGGTCCAAATTTTAAAAAGGCACAAGGACGAAACGATCAAAATTTCATTTTCTATTCAATAAGTCAGTCAAGCATAAAGCAAAGGTTGAATGTGCTTCTCTTCTTCTATAAGTCCGACAAAGTACAAAGCACCTGACATAATCAGTTATCATGGAGTTCATAAAAAGCCTAAGACTGGGCCCAAGAAATTTTGTCATCAACAAGTTCATTATGTGCAAAACTTTGGATTGATAACTCTTCGTCACGGACTTAATATAAGCCCCAAAGGCTAGGCCACTACACCTATCATTTAGTAAGTATATCATGCACAACTCTCTTTGCTTTATGAAGCTTGGCATGCTTGCTCTACCATGCCTAATTTTCTGCCATGTTGTAGGTGTTTGGCTTGTTACATGCAACTTTGAAGTATAATTTTCGGAAATGTTGAAGAAATTTTAGTGTGTTTGTGGACTTTTATGTTCTATGTAATGGGTGTAGCCCAATGCATGATGCTACGACCATTGAAGGGTTTAGGAAGAGGTTGCATATTCAACCTCACCACTATATGGAGTGGCTGACTTTAATTAATGACTTTAGTTGCATCACATGAGTGCGTCCAAGCTCGAAAAGATGACCAGTTTTGTTTGATGGTTTTACGGAAGGGAACTTGATTGGTAATGAAATGCAGAATATGTGTTTAGCAATTGACATTTCATATTTTACTTTTATTTTGATATTTGTGTTTTACAAAGCATTGTAGTTGCATGTACCTTCCTATATGTATGCCAAACATGTATAGGAAATAGTTATGCTTCAATGCATGCTAATATAATGTTGGATATGTGAATGAAGTACACAAATTAATTAAACTAAATTGAAGAAGATGGATATAATGAATATCTAGATTGGATTTGGGGATATTTCGTTGATTAGGATGCTAGATTATATCCGAATTATGCAAGGATGCACCCACGTCCACCTAGCTCATTTAAACTACTAGCCTTGTCAAAGGCCTCTGGGCTTTGATTCCTTTTGGATGTGAACTGAGCCCTCCATAATTATACTTGATTGATTGATCAATATTTCTTAGTTAAGGAAATCAAGGCTTTGTTTAAGTAATGTTGTGTTCCACTCAATGCAAAGAAGTCGTCGCTACCTTACAGAGATATTGACTTGATCTTGAAATGTGCCATTTCTGATCATGAAGCCGTGATGTGCATACACATTGTGGTTCCACATTATACGGTTTTCTTCACTGAATATTCCAGACAAACCAAAACTACTCTTTGAAAACTAATAAAGAAGCAAAAATTAACATTTATGGTGCATCCTATTATGCCATATTCAGTTATTATGTGACTTTCCACATCGTCTTTTACAGTTTGTGTCACAACGTTACCCTATTATATGCAATTCCTTGATGTATGTTGACTAGTTTCTGCATCCATTTTGCTAAGAAACAATTGTCATTGTATAATATTTTTATGCTTCTACTGAATTAAAAACAGGAAGATGTAGAACTCATAGCCAAGTTGGGGTTTGGAGCTTATCGGTTTTCTATTTCATGGTCTCGTATTTTTCCTGGTATCCCATCTTTTCTTTATTGTTTATCTAAAATTTATATTTTATTGTACATTCTCTTGCATATTCTTTATTGCAAATATTAGATTTTCTCTGGGGTGCACATTACTATTGTATTATTGTTCTTTTATACCGTTGAGATAGATTCAGAAACCATTTTTTATTGCCTTTGATGTATAATACTGCATAGTGATAGCATCCTGACTTCAGACATTCATGCAGTTTTTCTTAATTTTGTTTGCATCATAAGGAGTACAAAAGTCTGGTTTTGTTTCTTGATATATTTTACCTCTTGAAAGTTGCATTTGGTCAAAGAAATAATATGCTTGTTTTAATATCAGGCCAAATACCTTGCATTATAGGTTTTATTGAGGATCTGTATCATTCTTCTTTTGCAATTGAGCCTTAGATTGGGTCTCATTATACATGTCAAGCCTACATGCATGCATACAGATGTTCATGCCATGTTATGTACATGCATACATTCCTGTCAAATGTGCATACATACATACAAACAACATGCATACATTCATGTCAAGTGCACATACACACATACATACAGCATGCATATATGTCAATCATGCATGCATACATACGTACATGCATGTAAAACATAAATATATGTCTAACACAACATGCATAGATGTCAAGTGTACATACATGCATTCATGCATATATGTCAACCATGCGTACATACATAGATGTCAAGCATGCATGCAAGACAGGTGTACATACATGTCAAACATAATTTTTGACACAAAACATATCTTGATATGATCCAAAAGGACCAAATTACAACTTAGTTTGAATTTTAAAGGTTTAGAATGATGTAATTAACATTCAATATTGTGAGCCTCCCATTGAACTTGTGGGCATTGGACCATTCATATTGGGTTTTAATGGCTATAAGTGGCTGAACAAATTGAATTCCTTATTGCATGAGCTTCAAGCATGTAAGGTGGATGCAATGGGTTCTTGGGCGCATCAATGGCAATATAGTCCATGAGCTATTTGTCCGACCAGTAAAGGTTCGATTTGATGCCCCCCTTTGGACATGATGCTAATAAGGTACAACACTCATGAACTCTGTTGCCATTGACGTGATTGTTATTGCATAGATTGTTCCAAAGCTCGAAGCTTCTTCGAATCACCATACCTCTTGTTTTCTACTATTTCATGGTTGATCATCTTTAATGTTCAAGGGAGGTGAATTAATCCATGGAAAATTGTATAAATATTAGTACTTATATTTGTAAATTGTTTGAAAGGTGATGACCCTCCTCACAAGTTTTTTTCTCTAAGTTGCTCTTCTAAGCTTTAAACCATCTCAACCAATACACTCACAACATCACCATCACTATAAGATTAGTAGAATTTAACTATTTGTTTATTTCTTTTATTTTTACTGAATAACTATTTATAAGATTTTTCCTACTCTTGCAGATGGATTTGGAAATAAAGTCAATGAGAAAGGAATTGTCTACTACAATCATCTCATTGATTATTTGCTAAAGAAAGGTTAGTAATCATGTTTACTGTAATTAAACATTTATCCATAAAGGCTTATGTTTATATTTGTCAATTGTAGGTATTCAGCCTTATGTGACATTGTATCACTGGGATCTTCCGTACACGCTTCATGAATTTGTGGGCGGATGGCTATCGGAGAAAGTAGTGTAAGCTGCACATATTAAACATTTTAAGTTGGTTGAGTTTTCTAGCATCATTTACACATCTAAACTTTTTTATATAGCTCTTTCAAAAACTAGAGCTCATGAATGAGAGCTATATAGAGATGGAATATTTGTGCTAGCGAGTTTTCTCAATCAACGATTTTAGCGTGTGAGATGATGGCTAGGGGTGCTATCTAGACTAGTGAAATGGCCTCTAGATTTTGATTTTGACTCGAAATGTGAGCCGGAATTAGAAATGATTGATTTCTAGTTTAAAAGCTTTACTAGCTAAGCCTATTAATTAATTTTATATGTAGGTTTTTCTTAGGTGACCAGAACGTCAAATTGAGCATTAAATAAAAGAATAAAATGACATTGTTCCCAATCAAGTAGGATGGGCCACAAAGATTTGCATGGTTTAAAGTATCCAAATAGCTTAACCACATCATTGTTCAAAAAATTACATTTTGAACAAATGCTCTAGGAACACTTTCAAGGAGAAGGATTTGAAAGCCTATATGAAGAATCATGTGAGTTAAAACCTCAATATCATGCAAGCCACAAAAACTATATGAGTAGCAAAAAAAAAAGAGTATATTTTTGTTTATATTAAACTCAAATAGTTTGAAAATTTCTAGATCTGTTGGGATTTGGGAATGAAGTGGAAAACATTAAACCCCATGAATAAAATGGAAAAGCCTCATAACATAATCTTGATGGTAAACCAAATGAATTATATGAAAATGCCTGGTAGCATACAACAATGGTTAATTTTTTCAATAGAGAATATATCAATAACATCAAAAATAAAACTAATAAGCCACTGAATGAAAAAGCCTTTTTTGGATGTGAAATTTTATTCAGCCTTGAACTTCGTGGAAATAAATTATAGTTGAATGGGCAAGTCACCATAGTTTGTATATGGTGAAGAAACATGGAACCAAGCATGCTTTAGTACCCCTGAAGTGTGGCAACCAAGAGGACCAATGGAAGGTGAGGTGAATGGCTCCTTGAAGGCAGTAAGACCACTCTCTTTTTGTCTTCCTTTTGTTGGAAAAGAATTTATTGTCTTAGTGGTGGATTTAGAAGGGATTTGGTTTGAAGGGACGATGCTTGACCTGCAAAATAAGCATGCGAATATGGAATCTAGTGTAGCCTAGTTGTAGGCAAAGTGATTAAAAGGAAGATTGTGTGATATTTTGTTGCATGGAGGAAGCAAGACAATATGCTTGAGTTTTATGGTAAACATGTGAGATGAGGTTATGTGAGGAGGGTAGTAATGCTTAGTTTTTCTACTCAATTATGATCATACATGTGGTGGGCAACTATGGGGATCAGAGCCTCCAAAGGAAATTGCACAATCTACCATAGATTGGTTGGACCTAATGACTTAGCTGAAGACTAACTCTTACTGAATATATGCCATACTTTGAATTTCTTTTCCCCAAAATTGTAATTCTAAGTTGTCATTTCAACTTGTCGCTTGTCGCCTTCATAGTCAATGGCTTCAACTAGGTTTTGCCCAATGTGGTCGAAACTTGCTAACTCGTTCATCTATGACTTCTTGTTGATACCTTTCTGGTCGCCATCTAGAGCTCTCCCTTCAGTTGTTCAAATTCGAGAAGTTTGCCTGAACCATTGGTTCTACCAATTGATTGCATTACTTTCTAACGCCTCTTGTCAATGTCATTGTTCGACAACATCTAGTCAGTGTCCACCATATTTTTGTTGCTCACATGATGATTGACGTCTTTAGGTTGGTCCTGACTGACATCTTTAGCTATGGCTTTTCTAACACCTTGCTGGTCTACTCGTTTATTGTCTATGGTTTCTTTCAAAATTCCAAACATTCCATCCATCATGCAATTCTCTTGGTTGAGATCCAAAAGCGACTTGACAACTCCCTCATTGATTCAGTCAACAACATCTCCACGACTAGCTCCTACTTTGTCAACCAACACTTACCTTCGACTGTCATCTCCAACAACACACATTAGCTCCCAAGATGGCTTCTCCTCCTAGCTCTTTGCCGAACGGCTTTAACTGACCATAATTCGCTACTCATTTGGTCGTTGGCTCCCCAATCAACAAGACTTGATAACTTCATGCTGATTGGCTAGTTGACCTAGGACACCTCCATTATGCATCATGACTCCACACTACTTATTAACGGCTATGTCAGAGCATGTTCTTCCTAGAGTTAATAGTGAAGCACTGCATGTTCTTTACACAAAACCACCTATGTCGCTAGATCAGATGGTCCCATGTTAGTAGAAGCAATGCCCATCCCTCTCAGATCGCTTTTAGGTGATTATGATGGCTCTTTGGAGTAGCCAAGTCGAGGTCGGCCTCCTTATAAAAGCCTATCATCAATGATGTGTAGGAATGCTTCCCCATTGAGGCTAAACTCATGTAAAAGAGTCTCCCTTTTCTCGTCTTTGATCTTTCCCTTCCCTCCCCTCTTCTTCGTCCTTCACCCACAAAGCTCCTCTCAATGCGGTGAGGTGGACCTTGTACTCTATGGAATTTTCCATTTTATGGTAGATTCCACTCTCTTATTTCAATTTGGATATAGGATATAATGCTGAACAACATAAATCTTTCATCTTCACTTCATCTTCTTCTCTCAATTTGGGAATTATCTCAAGCCAAAGGCTTGAATTCCCCCCCGCTTGATCATCATGACCATTCTTATATAGAAAGGAACCGTATGTCATGCAGGAGTCCCCAGGTATATGCAACACGTTCACTATTGAGGTAACAATACATGAAATTCCATTATGCAATATGTCAGCTTAGGTTTTTCTGGAAAGGAAGATAACATCTCTATGCGATAAACACCTGTAGGATGATTTGACTTGGGTTCTTAGTGAACCATGCAAGAGACACGACGTTTGTGCTGGAGGTCATCCAAAAAGATGCTTGAATACCCTTCACCTCTATGGAGTGCCTCTGTTTTATTCATCAATAATCTCCTATTTACAACAGAACAATCCTATTTATAGTAAGAGTTCGAGCTATTATTATAAATAGTACTAATCTTTTATGGATTAGGAATTAATGAACAAAATCTTAAAATATTGTAAGCTTTTTTTATTTGGAACCAACAAGATCCTAAGGTGGGTTGACTTGTAATGTACTTTGCACTGAACCATGAATGTTTGTTGCACCTTAAGATATGATGATCATAAGGTACACTCATGGGAGCATGTTTTTAATTTGAACCCTAGAAATCAAACATAGACGAGTGTCTTTCATTATATTGTATGATTATTTCCATCATAAGGTATAATGCATCAAATGTACCTTACTGTTTTGAGCATTTTGTGATATGTTTTGACAATTTCCTATAAAATGGTAATTTGTGCGAGCCTTTTCTTCTATTTTCTATTGAAAGTCTTAGACAAACTTTTCTTGAAAAAAAATATTGATGCAACACACGATCTTGCATTTCTGATGAAGACTGTGAACCTTGAGCTCTGCATTGTTTCCTCACCATTGTGAATTGGAAAATTTTCCGTCGCCTACCTTCGGTTATTTGACATCCGATAAACAAAATAACAAAAGCACCATTGTTCATAACTTACACTCTTTTATAATAGTTTTTAAAGCGGAAAATATAAGGAGTATATTCAGTGCAATTATAAAAATTCATAGAATTCTGATTAAAAATTGCAAATCCTGCGCAACACAATAGCTGGCTGTGATTAATGGAAAATGATATTGTATCAACTTTGTTAAGTTGGAAATACTTATGAAGTTTGGAGTGTTTTAATACAATTTATTAAACTTTGATGATCGTTATTCTTCATTCTAACTTAATTATCTGGTTGAATGGCCAGTGAATATTTTGCATTGTATGCAGAAGTTTGTTTTGCAAGGTTTGGTGACAGAGTTAAGCATTGGATGACGATCAATGAACCTCTTCAAACAGCTATTAATGGCTATTCCATTGGTATATTTGCTCCTGGAAGACATGATAACCCGTACAAAGAACCCTATTTAGCTGCTCATTACCAGATTTTGGCCCATGCAGCTGCTGTTGATGTCTATAGGAAGAAATTTAAGGTATGCTATAGCTAATTAAGATTTCTTTTGATATGATATTCCAATGAGATTTTGATGTCTTTCTTTTATAATGGCATGGTCACTTGTGTTATCATTTTTTTTCTACAATGAAAGATGTTGAGGTGATTAATGTCTTGCAATGATTTTAAAATTTCCCATGCACATATGAAAATGGAAATTTTTTTGCTTTAAACTTCTATTTTCTGATCACTTGCATGCATAGTAAAATTTTCTTGCGAAACTTCAATCCATGAAGAATTAGTTTATATAAATTTCATTATCGGATATGATAGTCATCATCATCATCTTTGTACTACGATTTATATATGGCAAAGTAAAGAGGCTAAAAAATAATTTATCCATTTAGGCTACACAAGGTGGGGAAATTGGGTTGGTAGTTGACTGTGAATGGGCAGAGGCTTTTTCTGACAAAGAGCAAGATAAGATTGCCGTAGAAAGGAGGCTGGATTTTCAGCTTGGGTGGTACATCTCATTTCCTTTCACTTTCTTAGTTCCTGCTGAATTTTTTCTTTGCACATGGAATTGTGGATGCAAATTGTGTTGTGGAATATTTTCATTCTCGCTGATTGGTTTGCCACCTGAAGCTTGTATAAGTTGTTTTGTGGGACAAAAATTTGACCTGATACTAGGCAAATGCAGTTTTCTCTATAAAATAAATAAAAGAATGCATATTAGTGAAGTCATTATATCACTAAACATCTTGGCTCAGAAATGACTCTTACATGAGTTCAGCAACAGGGGGGAAAGAACTGTTTTCAAGGAGTAAGTTTGCGTTGTTATACATGTACTCTAGTATTTATATTTATAAAGTTTGTTATCTTTTTTGTCTAAAAAATTGCAATTAGTTTTTGATAATAGTACTTAATATCATAAAATATAATTTCAAGGAAATGATCTACCTATGATGCACGGACACTTCTTCTCAATGAGTTATGCAGTGTCTGACATATATCAGACACGACAAGCGTTCGACACGCCTCCGATATGTATCAGATGCGTCGAAGACGTGTCCGATTAAAAAAATATATTTAAAAATTTTTGGACACGTGTATCTTAAATATTTTATAAATTTTTTTATTAGAATTTTTTATATGAATTTTAATTTATTTAAAAATAAATATTAAATTTCTTATTTCCTCTCAATTGTCCACACTCAATATCCCATTTCCCATACATACCATTTTCATTTCTCTTCAGCAGATCTCAGCCAATATTTCACAACAACGTCTAATGCCAATTGCAATATCGACGTCCAACACCATCACAACATCAATGTTCCAAAATCATCTGAAAATTAAAGTTTGACGCCAGCAATTTCTATCCCCATAATCATGCCCTCGCGTATATCAACATCTCATCTTTGTAGCAACATAGATGACTACGTTGTCTCGACATCGACGCTTGATGCCCGATTCTTGATAACACTGTTGTCTCCCCTCTCGATGCTTTAAATATGACGTCGACATTCGACTCTTGACATCCTAATATTAATAATTTTAAGCACAAATCCTAATTAAATGATTTATTATTTTTCAAAATTCTTAATATCTTGATTACTCGTTTTCTATAAACTATTTTAAGATATAAAAATTTTAATGTTGTGTCAAACTCATATTTGCGTCCTATAATTTTAATAATTGACGTGTTTCGTGTCCGTGTTGTCGTATCTGTGTATGCGCATCATAGTGCTCTATAACTCAAGTTTGCTTCATGGTTGTGTTCTATGTGTATGGTGCTAAATCTTGAGCCGAGCTTATAAACTAGAGTTAAAGGATGAGCTTAACATAAAGTCATATCATGTTAAGTTTGTACCTTTTTGACATGAAACTAAGGAGATCCCGGCTTCTCTTTTCAATCTCTCTTTCTATATCTTCTTTCTCTCTTCAAGCTCGAAACTCAAAAAATGGAAGAATGCTTGACAAAGATGATCTAAGGGATCCTCGAGCATTCCCACAAACTGCTCCCTGTGTTTAGTCCTCTTGAGAGTGGGTTATGCTCTCTAATTCATAATCACCAACTTAGCCTTAGAGTCATCATATCCACTCAAGCTGATGATGAAACCTATCTCCAAAAACTGTATTGCTAAAACACTTCCTCATTGTTTCATGAAGCACTGATCTTTAGCTCACCAATGCATTTTCTATGAAAATATAGGGGTTAGCTTCCTCCCAAGTTCAAAATTTCTCATCTTGATTTTTCCAAAGGCAGTTGGATGTGAATGACTATTTTGCCCATTGAGTGTTGGTGATTCCCCTTATTAGCATTAGTGATGCACTTAAATGCTGACTACATTTTACCAACCTTAAAAAAGGTGCCACTGAAGTGGTTTTAATGTCTTCTACTATGAAGTATTTATTCATATGCTAACTTCAAGCCAAAAATCGGAACTTAGTTCGCTGGCAACCAAAATATACCAAAGAATTCACAAATTCTTATGAGTGGGAGGCAAGAGTTGGGCAAATTACTCCATTACTTTATGACTTGTTTTCAACTTGAAATTCAGGATTTCCAGGACTACTTTCGCAATCTTGTCAGATATTTCACCTCTCTACTATTTTGTCTACCTTCATCATAAACTTCTTCCTTACAAAAGATCACATAGTGTTGGTTTTCTTTCTTGCCATGTCTTGAGAAGCCAATGAATTGGAGGTGCTTCCTTGGAGAATTCAAAGGTTTGTTGAAAAGTTGGCACTATCATCATTTTGAATTTCTATATTTATAGAGTTCGAAATGAGGAGAAACTTAATTTTCTGCACCTAATCAAGATCGCTCTTGTGGTAAGTAGTTGTCAAGATTAAAGCTCTCAGAAGAAACTGCCATCAATCAAGTTGTCCCCTGGGTCAATGTGCCTTAAATTGATGGTTTGGTTTATGATCAATTCCTTCCGAACATTTGTGTTCTTTCTTTCAAAACATTTACCTTTCAACAGCCATCTATTGAGTTGTTGTCCATAGCCCTCGAGCTAACAACCTAGATCTTCAGCGCCGTCTTTGATAAGAACCATACTTTCTTTAGATTATGGCAGTATGTTTAGACCATTAACTCTTTTAGTGACACCTTATGCCACAATGGGTTATCCTCCAGCTGCGAGCATTTGTGAAGACTAACGGGGATGTTGAGTCTATTAGTTGGTGTGATTTTTTCCTGGCAATTCCCACTGATGTCTCCCTTCGAGGATATCCAATCGGCCTCCATAAAGATTCTTTCCGGTCACCTATTGATCGTCTCTCTTATTCCAATTGTATTCCTTGGCACATTTCAGTAGGAACCTTATAACGAAGCTTCTATGATTCCTCATTAATTTGCCGGACCAACATCTATAGTTCCCTATCGGTGTCCCATCATTCCAGTCAATAGTTAATACATCATCTTTCGTTTGGCATTCAAGAGCAGCCTTCACTAACTTCCTCTTTGAGTCCTTTCTCAACTTCCCTGCCAACCAACTTATTCCATAGTGGCCAACTCTAGAAGCGTCTCTCTTCCTTCTAATGTGTTTGTTAGATCTTGTTGAATCTTGTCAACAACACATTTCAACTTTCTGCTGACACCGTGTTAAGGCCGGCCTGCATCCATTGCTCATCCAACTATTGACTCCGTAGTCAGTTGGCCTTGGCATTTCTTGGTTGCCAATCGTCTGTGAATCTACTCGCTAGGACTTTTCCATCTAGCCTCTAAAACCGCATCATTTATTGAAGGTCCAAGATGGGCATATTCAAAGCACATCCCTTTTACTACATCATGGATGTAATCATATACATATACTGTCTTTATATATCTTTCTCTCATCTCCATAGGGAAATCAACTACCACTCCTTGGAAGATCAATGGCCCAACACTCTTGAATTAACGACCAACCTCTCAGCTTCTTTCTTCCAGTTTGAAAGTATTTTGGGCCAAAGGATCTACCCTTATTGATTCTTTATCTCCTTGGACGCCATCCTCCACTTCTTGCAGGTCTCTGGGTTCCCCTACTGCAAATCAATTTAAACTAAGCTGAAAGAGTTTATTAGAATCTATACTTCATAAAAACCATAATGTTTGTTTGCTTATTTTTTACAAAAAAAGTTCATATATTCACTTTCAAGTTTTGGGCAAACTATTAGGTCCGGTCACCCGATAGAGAAATCATCTCTATCTACAGTAAATCGCAGTTACTGTAGCAGTTGTGCTTTGACTGTGCTTTTGCTGTAGACAGAGAGAAATCCGAATGTATCTCTCTATCAGGTGACCGGACCTAATAATTTTCCCAAGTTTTGACTGTGTTATTTTTTGTGCTACTTTTAATGGCAATATTTGCATTGTTAATTTTAACTACTTGTTTAGTGTGAGATGATTTTGAAAACTTCAAGAAATTTATAAGGTTTTATGTTCATTTGTTTTAGGTTTTTGTGCTTCTGAGATAAACCTTGTTATTTTTTTCCAATACAGCCCTGCATAGATTTTACTTTTTAATGAAGCATATATGTTATGTTTAACTATTGAAGGCTCTTCTTTTAGAAAACAAAATTTGACATTACAGGTTTTTTTTTTTTGTACGTTGTCCTTTTGGAGAGAATTTATATCTATTTCTACATTACTCCAGAGCGGTGAGGCTATAAATCATCATGTTATGTATTTGCAAGGTTTCTGGATCCCATATTTTACGGAGACTACCCTGCAGTTATGCGAGAAAGGCTTGGAGATCACCTTCCACAGTTTACTCAAAGAGAGAAAAAATTACTACGAAATTCAGTTGATTTTGTAGGGCTCAATCATTACACTTCCAGATTAATTGCTCATGCGACTTGTGCAACAGAGGGACCTTTTTACGAAGTACAGGAATTGGAGAGGATAGGTAACTATTTCAATAAACTCCATTTCTTTTTATGAGTGATGTATCATCTCTAATAAAAGCCAAACTACTTTGATTCCTAAAAATTCAAAAATAAAATGCACAAAATCACATTACTTTTTAAGAGTTTACTGGAGTTGATGCTTGAATGTGATGGTGATAACCTTTTATCCTTTATTCTTGCTTTGAACTAAGCTGATAAAGTTCTAATCCAACTTCATAATTCTCATGTATAGTTAACTGGCAAGGTGGCGACCTAATTGGTGAAAGAGTAAGATTTCTTACACATTGCCTTTATTTTTCTGGATAGTTTCACTGAGTTATTGTATCTATGGACGGTAAAGAAAACTTATTGTTTGTGCTTGCCTACTTCTTTTATAAGTTTAACTTGAGTTCTCTAACTTCAGGCTGCATCAGATTGGCTTTACATAGTTCCTTGGGGCTTGAGGAAAGTCCTTAACTACATCGCACAGAAATATAAAAATCCGCCCATCTACGTAACTGAGAATGGTGACGCTCTATAATCTAGGTGCTTTAGATTTTTCACTTTTGGTGTTTCTTACTCATTTAATGTCTGTGGATTGACTTGCAGGCATGGATGATGAAGAAAAGGAAACAGCAATAATCAACGAATTTCTCAGTGATGAGAAGAGAGTGGAATATTTCAAGGGCTACCTTGGTGCGGTAGCGCAAGCTATCAGGTACTTTAAATCTGTTTTAATCTTGATAATTTGCAACACTTTTTTCTCTTGTGTGGATTTCCTTCTTGAGTGTGGCATCTGAGCCTATTATTAGCGAGACGACAGAAACTATTCTTTCATTTTGCCTTCTATAGGAATAACTTTTGCATTTCAAGCATGTCAGTAGGTCACTGGGTAAAAGGGAGACACAAGATTCCCTTTTGCAAGCAAAAGGGTATCTTGATGTAAATGGTTGGACTGGAAACTAATTGTTTTTTTTTTTTTAATGTAATGCTGTTAGAATGATTTAGTATATTTAGATTACCTGAGGAAATTTATTATTGGTAGATCACATGTCATTAAGTACGTCAAAAAATTTGTTTTTGTAAACACAAAATAATAAATATAATAATCAAAACCCAAACAATAATTTTTTTTTTTTTAAAAAAACCCAAACAATAATATAATAATTGAATGAATCAGACAATGAGATATTTGAACCATGCAAAAATAACGAACAATTATAAAATGTTCACCACAATTGAAATCTCATGTTTGCCAAATTTAATTGGAACATTAACAAACCAATAGCAAAATATGTTACAAGAAAAAAGGTCAAGCAAAAAATATACAACAACAACAAGCCTTTATCCCATAGTGGGGTCGGGTATATGAATCCTTTTTCTCCATGGTGTCCTATTAAAAGTCAAATTCTCATTTAAATCCTATAAAGAAATATCACTTCTAATATTTTCTAGCCAAGTATTTTTAGGTCTACCTCTACTTTTCTTAACATAAGTCAAATCTAATACATCTAATTTTCGAACTGGGTCATCGGAAGGCTGCCGTTTAAGTGACCAAACCATCTAAACCATCTAAGGCAACTCTTTCTAATCTTATCTTCAACTGGAGCTATCCCAACCTTTTCACATATATGCTCATTTCGTATCCTGTCTCTAAGAGTAAAGTCACTCATCCATCTGTGCATCCTCATCTCTGCAACACTTAATTTAATATTAAGTTTCTCTTTAATGTCCAACATTCTGCACCATGAAGCATTGCAGGTCTCACTACCATCTTATAGAATTTTCTCTTAAGTTTGAGAGGGACTTTTCTATCACACAACAAGCCCAATGCATTCCTCCACTTCAACCATGCAACTTGAATTCTACTAATAATATCCCCCATCTATTTCACCATCAGTTTGAATAATAGATCCAAGATATATAAACCGTGTACTCTTATTAATGACTTGATCGCCCAAAGTCACAATTCCCCCACTCGATCTATTATTACTAAAATTACACTGCATATATTCAATTTTAGATATACTCAAACGAAAGCCTTTAGACTCTAAGGTTGACCTTCATAATTCAAGTTTACCTTCAACTTCCTCTTTAGTCTTATCAACAAGAAGAATATCATCAGAAAAAACATACACCAGGGTACAACATCTTGCAAATGCCTAGTGAGAACATCCATGACTAAAGCAAAAAGATATAAGCTTAAGGATGATCCTTGATGTAATCCAATTGAAATAGGAAAATACTTGGTCAAATCACTTTGTGTTTGAACACGAGTAATAGCTATATATATATATATCCTTATTGACTTAAATATAGGCATTATTAATACATTTCTTATGTAGAACTCTCCATAACACATCTTTTAGAACTTTATCATATGTTTTCTCTAAATCAATAAAAAACATATATAGACCCTCCTTTTTCTCTCTATAATTCTCCATCAAGCCTCTCAATAAATGTATAGCTTCCATAGTAGACCTACTTGGCATGAATCCAAATTGATTTTGAGAAACATTAGTGTCATGCCGCAACCAATGCTCCATAACTCTCTCCCATAGTTTTAAACTATGACAATCTTGTGCATCACATTTATTCTTAAAAATATGAATCAACACCCTCATTCTCCACTCATATGGCATCTTTTTAGTCTTCAAATAATATTAAAAAATTTGGTAAGCCAAAAAATTTCTTCATCTCCTAAGCATTTCCACACCTCTATTGGAATATCATCAAGTCCAACAGCTTTTCCACACTTCATTTTCTGTAAAGCCTCTTTAATTTTGGTTTTACTAATATGCCGGTAAATACAAAAATCTTTATTTTCATTTAGAGTGCTAAGGTCATTAAAGTCAATCGCATTCTCATAATCTTCATTGAAAAGCTTAGCAAAATATCTCATCCACCTTTGTTGAATATCCTATAATAAAAGCATCTTTTGATCTTCATCGTGAATAAACTTTACTTGAACTAAATTCTTGCTACTCATATCTTTTTGCTTAGCTAACTTATACATATATCTTTCATCCTACTTAGTATCTAATATATTATATAAATCATTAAAAGTTTAAATCTTTGCATTGCAAATTGCTTTCTTAAACTCCTTACAGGCTTCTTTATTTCTTTCTCAATCATCAAACATTTTACAGCTAAACTAATTTTTATAATAAATTTTCATATTTTTTTATCTTTTCTTGCATATTTTAATTCCACCACCTATTTTAAAATATTTAGGCCTCGCATCAGTTTAAGGAGATGACTTCCCTTTAAAAATTAGATCATGAAAACATGCACCAACTTCAAACCTATAAAAGAATTGTCAGAAAATCGTGAAATCACATGAATATCACCACAATACTCGCACCCATCATGGTAAAGGATAATAACGAGAAACAACAAACCTGCAGTTAACATAATATCGAAAAAGTTGTATTAAAGGTAACAAACCTCATCTTCGGGTAAAATCTCACATCAATTTACTTAACTTGGATGATTTTGACTTCAATGAATTAAGTTTATCATATTCATTCAGCAAATCTAAGCATTAATTTTATGTATCTAAAATATCCCCAATAGTCTATTCATAAAATACTCTCTCTTTAATTAGATCGAATTCAATCATTATTAATTCTTTTTAGTGACCCAAGTAATGTCCCACGTTTAGTTGACCTGTTTGATATCAATTTGATGCCTGATAGTTTGGGTTAAGATTCTTCATTACAACAAGGATTATGTGGTATATGTAAATTATGCAAGAAAACCCTCGATTCACTTATAACAAACCCATTAAATACATCAAAAATTTGAATGAAAAATAGTAAATATGTAATGATTGAATAAATCTAAAAATTAGTGAGAAATTCAAATTATGTAAATGATAGGAAATACTTGAGTTCGAAAGCAATCCTAAGGGAATACTTGAGTTCGCAAGCAAACCTATCACTAATTGGAGACAAAACAGCGAGAAATAAGCAAAAATCTGGGAGAAATCAGCCCCAAAACGATAGATTGCAATAAGGGAAACAAAGTAAAAATCACACGAAAGCAAGATACAAGTGATCCTCAATTCGAGAGGAGGATCGTCTCTCCCAAATCTCTAGACAAGAGAGTCTAGAGCCCAAAACGCCCAAGAGACTCCAAGAAGATTACAATACTTGCATGCATTTCCCTTCCCCTTACCTCTCCTATTTAAAGACTTTTTCACCTCCTCAAATCTTTCTTAAAAATAAATTCAAATCCTATGGACCCCACTCCTAGGCGGTAATCTAATTTGGGCAAGAAAGGAGGTGAAACCGCCTCCTTTTGTATACAATTGCCGGTCCATAGGGGCCGGCTGAGGCGGTTCCTTCTGAACCGCCATATCAGTAAAATGAACGAGTAATTATAATTTATTCATCACAATTAGAATACTGTTTAAGCTAAATTTGAATAAAATCAAGAACACGATATATAAAATGACATTCTAATAGGTTTTGTATTTATGAGTACTCACTTTTTGACTCCACAAATAAACGAGTCGATTATAAATGAACATTTCTTAAACCTTAAACAGTAGTTAACGAGTCAACAATGTGCGGTTGCATGACTTGAGACTTGTTCACATCACTATTATTTTTGTTTGGTACAATTTTTTAATTATTTTTAAAATAATTTTGGTGCAAAAAAGTTTGAACTAAAAATATTTCTTTTGTACTAAAAAGTTTGAACTAAACATTAGCAATCACAATGAATATTTCTTATAATGCCTAACCAATCTGTTCATTCCCAATTTCCCATCAGGGACGGTGTGGATATCCGCGGATATTTTGCATGGTCATTTTTGGACAATTTTGAGTGGGCCCAGGGATACACTAAGCGGTTCGGGCTTGTGTACGTGGACTACAAAGACGGGCTTAAAAGGTACCCAAAGTCATCTGCTCTCTGGTTTTCCCATTTCTTGAAGGGCAAATCGGTCCACGAGGAGAACTGAACCACATGGATCCGTCAATTTTACCTCGGTAATATTTTTACTTCAACTCAGTACCTTTTTTTTTATTCTCATTTTGTCTTATATTCAACTGATTTGCCTGCTTTTAACTATTTGGTCCAATTTTAGATGGAAATTACTGTTGGCTTTGAAGAAAAATAAAAACTATCTTTTTTTTTTTAATTCAATATTATAGTATTTAGAACCTTTCAGCGTTTTGATTGGTCCATGAAGGTCATATAAATTTGATGTGATAAAATTATGTTCTACAAATATTGAATTTTAATTATTTTGATATTATAAAATTTATATGCGTCATATTATTGTAATTGATAGCTTTCGCTCTTTAGTATCTTTCAGTCATCATCATCATAGTTTAATGGTTGGAGGTGAGTACAGTACAATGGTCCCCAGGGCCATGCGTCTTTCTGGGCCGGTCTTGCTGTCTACCGGTAGAGTTAGCCCAATTTAGCTATTTGACGATGGATTGGCCTGTTAAATAAAATGCTTGTGTGATAATTCCACTAAAAAATTGAATGATAATAGCTTCAATTGAAACAGTTGAGCTGCAAATCATTTGCTGTAAATAAATTTTAAACTGATTATTTTCATATTTCTATAAGTTTTTATGTGTGATGATAGAATTTTCATTTGTAATACAATTTGTTTTGGATGTTATTATTGCTATTGCCGAATATGGTATCAAAATCATTGATGTTTATTAATAATCATAGAATTATCAAAAAATGGTTGAGAACTGATCAAATTGGATGAAGAAATGGATGGTTTTTTATGCTTCATTTGATTTGAACCTGAAATATTTCTTATATTAGGATATTGTCTTTGTATGTTAATGAATAATTAAATCTTTTTAATTGTATTCGAAAAAAAAAATTCTCCATAATTCATAGAGATAAAGATCTTTCCATGCTTCTATAAAACCTAAAATTAGCTAAATTCAATTTTGCTTTTAGATTAAGATTTTATTTGGGACGATTTTTTTTTCTGCTTCATAAAGCAGCTTTCTATTATAAAAATTAAAATTTGTATACTAGAAAGTTGCTTTATGAAGCAATAAGAAAGCCGTTTCAAACTAAGCCTAAATCGGCTAATTTGTTGGTTCTACCTTCATTCCAAAGCAAAGCTTGGCCTTATTTAACGTATGATTACCTTTGGTAAAGTGCTTAAAGGGTCCATGTAGCCATTATGCTCAACCACTTAGCACAAAAGTGTGAATTTACTTTTAAGATGCTCATTCTCAGCGCTTTAGCCTTTAGGGAGCATTAGCAAATAGCAATGGCTGTTAGTGGGCCCTTTTTCATTTTTAAGGAGTTAAGTCCTGCTAAAAGTTTATTGTAGATTTTCACATTTATGTAATAATTAGTCTTACATTTTTTTTTATGAATGATTATAATATTCTTCACTCTTTTATGAGCTATTGTTCTTGTTATGCTTTTTAATGTCAGTTTCATTTGGGATGATTTTTTTACTATTTTTAGTATAATTTTTTTTAAATAATGATTTAAAATTATGCCAAACAAAGCAGAATATTACAAATCATTTTTTCATATCAATATAGAATAAAGGCTGTCAGATATTAAAAACCCACAAAAATAATAATAATGATTACATTATACCTGTATGATCATATTTAATTAGTACTAAGCTGGAGAAAATATTATTAGAAATGGAAGCCAGTTAAGATACTAGTTAGCTAGCTAGCTGTTACCATATGTGTTAACTAACCAAGTTTATGTAATTTGTCGCATGCTAGGAGGCTATAAAGTTTTTATTTTTATATACTATTTTTTATCGAATACAGTCTAACGCTTGTAAATCTTGTTTTTTTATAATAATCTCAAAAAATATGCATAATACATTAAAAATGAATTTTAAATATTTTTTCTTGTAATATAAAATTCATCAATATTGTGATATAAAATTTTTTGAGCCAATATTCGCTTCTTGAAAATAAAATATTATTTTATTAAATGATTATGATTTTCAAATTTTTTTTTTTTTTGAATTTATGATATGACAGTATTAGATTTTTTTTAGTAAAATAGTATTACATTAAATCAAATTATTGTAGCCCAAATCCAATCAATCAATCATAAAGGCGGTGATTCTTTTGAATGCATCATCCCTTCAAATATTCAAATAGTGAAAGAATATAAATTTAGGGTGATTGGTGGTCTAGCGTGGTTGGGAACTCCCGAATTTCCTCTATTACGGGCTGGTCTATTTAGTGATGCAAAAAAAGTGTGGGCCCGATGCTGGTGAGTTGTCTTGTTAGGTTTACACCGTCAAACACTTTCTTTGGAGTAGCAGTGAGTAGATACCTAGTTTAAAAAAAAAAAATTTAAACATTTGACTTACACTTAAAATTCATGTCACAATTGCATGATATTATTGTCAACATAAATTAATATATCTGAAGCATAATTTTCGTTCATATAAGAAACTAATCAACAATGCGCATGTGATCCTCTGCAGTTTTCAACTGTTAATTATATCAACAGGTAAGCTACGTACAATTTTAAATGCTTTAATTTGTATTAAAACGAGCAGGTCTCTTCATGCAAAATAATGACACGGCCATAGCCACCAAACTTATATCATTATATAATAATTGACTAAAACACTCTTAAGTGTAGCATCCACAAGACAATCAAAATTTTGTAATTAAAAAAAAGGTCAAAATTAAATTTTAAAATTATTTTAATTATTTATATACATATTGAAACTTCATGAATTTTTGTGCAATTAATCAAATTTCATTATTTGGATTCAAGATTTCCTTTTTTATTTTTTATTGATTGTCCGAAGAAGCAAAAGTTACTTAAAAAAATATTTTTAAAGTTGTTAAATATCATATCTCTATTTAATGGGGCCAATAAAAGAAAATCACTTAGCAATCAATAATCATTTATAACAACAAATGAAAAGGATATTGGCCACTCTTACTATTTCATTTCATTTTACAGAAATTGTTGCAAGTTCTTTTTATTTAAAAAATGTCACTTTTATGAAATAAATTATTTACAATAATAAAATATCTTCCAATAAAAAAATATTTATTAAATAATAATAATAATTGATATCTCTGTTATATTATCCTCTAGTTTTTATTTAAATGTCTTTAATTTATATATTAAAATAAATAGTTAATTTAGTTGATTAAAATTTATAAAGCTGTTATCAGGGGTGTCAATTCGGGTCAACGAGTCGGGTTCGGGTCGAACCCGGAACTGACCGGCACTGTTCGGGTCAACCCGAACCTGACCTGATTCGGGTCCGGGTCAACCCGACCGGACACTAATGACCCGGAATTGACCCAAAATTTCTAATTTTCGGGTAAAAAATCGGGTCAATCTTCGTTTTTCGGGTCAAAATCGGGTCAAAAACGGGTCAAACTCGGATTTTCAAGTCAAATATGAGTTTTCGTGTCAGTTTCCGTTTCGGGTTTGGGTTGACCCGAACCCGGATTTTTCCGGGTCGGATTCGGGTCGTGTTTCGTGTCGTGTCAAAAATTGACACCCCTAGCTGTTATTGAATTTTGGGAAATAAAAATTTCATTTATATATCAAATATTTAAAGTAACAACTTGTTCGTAAGATTTTTCAAAAACAAACAAATAAAGCAGTCTAAAGTTTATGGTCCAATAGCAATAATTAATAAAGATTAAAGCTTTTGTTAGTGAGGGAAATGCTGCCTCTTACTTAAGGCTAATAATCTCTCTCTTTCTCTCTCTCTCTTTTCACCGACAAGCATCTCTGTCAAACTTCTTTCTCTCTCTTCTGCTCTGTGCAACTATGCTTACTCTCTCTTCTTCCTCCGCCTTCGTCCTCCTCCTCCTCCTCCTCCTCAACTCGGCCACCCACTGCCGAAAGCTTCTCCAAGATCCTTTCTTTCCGTCAACTCAATCACCGCCGCCAGCAAACTCCCCCGCCGTTCCCTTCACCAAATACCCTTTCACCTCCGAATCCCCGCCTTTTTTCCCCCAATTCCCTCCCCCTCCTCCCCCTTCCTCCGCTTCTAACCAACCCACCTTTCCCGCCAACATTTCCTCCCTTGTTTTCCCCAACTCTTCCACCTCTCCTCAACGCCGTTCCTCGTCCTCTGCCAAGCTTGCCGCTGCCATACTCCTCCCTCTACTTGCTTTCTCCATCCTCTCCGTCTCCCTCGTCTTTTTCCTCCGCCGTCGCTCCCGCGGTAGCACTCAACCCCCTCTTCCCGAAAAAGCCTGCTTCTTCCCTCCGAACTACCGCTCTTCCTCCTCCTCCTCCTCCTCTTCCAACGGCGGCTCAGCCGGGGGCTCACCTGAGCTCCGTCCGCTGCCTCCTCTGTCGAGGAAGCTCCATCACAACAATGCCGATGGACGGTGCTCGTCGCCATCGGAGGAGGAGTTCTACTCGCCGAGGAATTCTTCGTTGGGAAGGGGTTCGAGCTCCCAAAAGGAATTCACTCCGGCGGCGATGGAGACATGTGGGTCGGGGAACGATACATTGAGTACTACGCCATCATATCCTTCCTCGAGTTTCGAATCTCGTTCGCCGTCGGTGCTGTCGCCTCCGTTGGGTTGTAGCCCGGAGAAATCGAGGGCGAAGTCTGTGAAATCAAGATCTAGTAGTGGAGGCTTTAGGTACGCTGGATTGAGTTTACCGGAAATGGCACCACCAACAATGCCCGAGCTGGTGGATCCTTCTACTCTGAAGAGAGAAACCCCAACCCCAACTTCTCCGCTTTCTTCTCCGGTTCAGAAGAAGTCAGATCTGGACTCAAATGAAGTAATAATTCCCTTACAGAAGGAAAAAATTTCATCTTTTGAAAACCTTCATTCTCAGGAGAGAAACGGGGAGGTTGAAGCTAAGCCATTCAAAGCTAAGACACCGCCTCCGCCGCCGCCTCCACCACCGCCGCCACGCGCTGGTTATTGGGAGAGTAAAATAAGAAGACCTCTGTTGAACAATCCACCTTCTTCTCTTGTGTCTCAAAATCCGTTGGAATCTAACAATGTCAAAGGCACAGACTTCGATTTAGAGAATCAAGAGAAGAATGACGAGACCTCTCGGCCCAAACTGAAGCCTTTGCATTGGGATAAAGTGAGAGCGAGCTCGGATCGAGCAATGGTGTGGGATCAGCTCAAATCAAGCTCTTTCCAGTAAGAATTTTAACAACTTTTTCTATTTAAATTTCCGTTGAATTTCTTCACTAGATTGTTCTTTGTTTCTCTTAAAAATTGAAGCTTTTTTTTTTTCCAGGGTTAATGAGGAGATGATTGAGTCCTTGTTTGTCTGTAATGGAACTAACAACAAATCAAAGGAGACAAACAAGCAGCAAGTACTTCCTTTGCCCAACAAACAAGAGAACAGAGTTCTTGATCCAAAGAAGTCTCAGAACATTGCCATTCTTCTAAGAGCATTAAATGTTACAAAGGAAGAGGTCTGTGAGGCCTTGTTAGAAGGTGATAATCTTGCCTTACACATTCTCTATTATTTTCTTTGTTTTGAAGAGAAGTGAATGAGCTTTCAGTTGTTAGAGAACCTTCTAGACGCTTTAGGCAAATCTTCATCTTAAATAGGTCATGATTTTAGACTAATTCACTGGCTTTTCTTACAAAGGTGGCTTCTTGCTCTTAGGATGTTGGGAATAGGTTCAGGAGCTTTTCTTAAATCACGAAAGAGTAAGGTTTCGTTTGGGACGATTTTTTTACTGCTTCTTAAAACTGATTTCTAGCAAAAAATTAAAATTTTTATGCAAAAAAAACCGCTTTAAAAAGCAGTAAAAAAGCCGTCCCAAATAAAACCTAAATATCATACTAAAATTTTTATGCAAGTTTGCCTAATTGATGGTTATTCCTTTTGTTGCCATAATATGTTTCACTATGATGATGATGATGATGATGATAAAGATTCAAAAAGGGAATTTCATAGCCTCTCTTTTACTGCACCTTTTCTAATATCTTTTGTCTACAAATAATGACGCCCCTTTTATAATGAAAATAATAATAATAATAATAATATGCCAATCAATATTACATGGGAAATTCTCAAAATAACTTGATGAAATAACTCCCAAATATTTTACTCCCTTAACAAGCCGTGCACATTGAATTTGCATAAGATATTTTTGGTAGGGCATCAATTAGGCTCTAAAACTCAACACAGAAAGTACTAGGAAACTACTAGCACTTTTAGGGGCTGTTTGGTAGCACCTTGGATTTAATTTAAGTAGGATTTCATTAATCCTCTAAATCTGGATTTTGGAAATCTTGAGGGGCTTAAATGCTGAAAATTGTTTGGTAACATTCATGATAAATCCTCTTAAATCTAATGTGATTGTTTGGCTATAGAGCAGGATTTACCAAACGGACTCTTTCTCTAGCGCCATGGATTTTGTAAATCTAGCAAAATACAGGATTTCGGAAATCCGGGATTTAGAGCGAATCGACGGAATTTTTTCGTCTGCAGCGGATTTCATTTGCCGTGAGATTTGGTTTTGCATTTTAGGCCGTTTGGCTAGGTTTCGCTCAAATCCGCCACTAATCCGGCCTAAATCCTACTACCAAACAGCCCCTTAGAGTTGTATTCTATTATATTTTTTCCTCATTTCTTGGAGTAGCTCTAGTGGTAGATAAGATTAGAGAGAGTTGTCTTAGATGATTTGGTCACGTAAAATGGCAGCCTTCCAATGACCTGGTTATGAGAGGGATGTATTAGATTTAACCTGTGTTAAGAAAGCTAGAAGTAGACCTAAAAAGACTTGGTTAGAAAATATTAGAAATGTCTTTTCTTTATTCGATCTAAATGAGAATTCAGACACAATGGAAAAAAAACAGGATTCATGTAGCCGACCCCACATAGTGGGATAAAGACTTGATGTTATTATTGTTGTCATCGCCGTCTAATGTGCCTAATTGAAATCACAGCTTTTATACATTCTTTGATGTTGTTGTTTGATTGTGTAGAACTTGGTGAATTTTGAGCAGGAAATACTGAGAACTTGGGAAGCGATCTTTTGGACACGCTCCTAAAGATGGCACCTAGCGAAGAGGAAGAGGCTAAATTGAGAGAATACAAGGATGACTCCCCAGTCAAGCTTGGTCCAGCTGAAAAGTTTCTCAAGGCTTTGCTTCATATTCCTTTTGCATTCAAGAGAGTTGATGCAATGCTTTACATCATTAATTTTGATTCTGAAGTCAATTACCTTAAAAATTCTTTTGAAACTCTTGAAGTAAGCTCTCTCTCTCTCTCTTCTAGACTAGTTTCTAACCAGTTATCAACAAAGAACAGACATTATATTAACAAGAAAAATGTATTGAAATATCATATTTCCATGAAGTTTTGATAGGCTATATTGCTTCATCTATAAAAATCAGACGTTTTTAATTTTGGTGGTGTATATATAGAACTTAACCTTATTTTAACACTGTACAACTGGTCAAACAAGTTGCCAGATGATTCCTATTATAAAGCCAGTGTCATATCAAGGAGAAATTATTAGATTCGGACATCGAACAGATAGAATCATTCGGATTTCTCTCTATCTATAATGAAATCGCAGTCAAAGCACAGCTGTTACAGTAACTGTGATTTTTGATGTAGATAGAGAGAAATCCGAATGACTCTATCTGTCCAATGTCCACGCCTAATAATTTGCCCATCTTCAAGAGTAAGAAAACAAAAATATATATATAATTTGTTGTTCTGTGTTCAGGTGGCCTGTGAAGAGCTAAGGAGCAGCAGGCTATTCCTGAAATTGCTTGAGGCAGTTCTGAAGACTGGAAATCGCATGAATGTTGGAACCAATCGTGGCGACGCTCGATCCTTTAAGCTCGACACCCTTCTTAAACTCGTCGATGTCAAGGGAACAGATGGCAAGACAACCCTCCTGCATTTTGTCGTCCAGGAGGTGATCAGAGCCGAGGGTTCTCGCCTCTCCGCTTCCACCCTATCCACCGCCAAAACCCAACCAAACACACTCCGCGATGATCTGGAGTGCCAGCGATGTGGCCTCCAAGTTGTCGCCGGCCTTGGTGGCGAACTCAGCAATGTGAAGAAATCTGCTTCGATGGACTCCGAGGTTCTCAGCAGCTATGTCTCGAAACTCGCCGGCGGAATCAGCAAGATAGGTGAAGTCCTGAAGCTTACTGGAGATGGAGATATCAGTTGCCAAAGGTTCAATGAAGCAATGAGAAGCTTCATGAAGAAGGCTGAGGATCAGATCATAAAGATCCAGGCTCAGGAGAGTGTAGCACTGTCATTAGTCAAGGAGATAACCGAGTACTTCCATGGAAACTCGGCCAAGGAAGAAGCTCATCCTTTTAGAATCTTCATGGTTGTCAGGGATTTCTTATCCATCCTCGATCAGGTCTGTAAGGAAGTCGGGAAGATCACCGAGCGAACCATCGCTAGCTCGGCGCGCCAATTTCCCGTACCGGTTAACCCAACTCTGCCTTCCCTGTTCCCTAAACTTCGAGCTTTGAGGCCTGAAAGCTCCGACGATGAGGGCTCGGCATCGCCATTGTCGTCGTAGTGGTTACTAAGACATTATCCAGGAGGCCTCTGTGAGGCAAAATTTTGCTGGTTATGATCTAGAAAGCCAGCAGGGTCTTTGGTAGATTCCTGGTTATTTATATAATTTTTTTTTTTTTTGGTTGCCTGTAAAATTAATGTAAAAGATCTTCAAATTCTTTATGGTAATATATATGTAGAGGGAGAAATAAAAATTTTAAATGCAGATGGGAATAATCTGGTTGGATGGTCAGGCTGGCTATCAGCCATAGGTATCATACTGTATTGTTTGGTATGCTTCTGCCGACAGATGAGAACGCATAAATTTGTAAGATTTTGTTTTGTGTCAGTCCATCCCTCTGGAAAAGGAGAAATTATTTGATGCAGAGTAAAATATCTTCTTAAGATCAATTAGAATGTGCCACATCAACAGTATTGAGCCGTAGTATCGAGCAATATCGAGCCACAATACCAAGTAATGGATGACATGATGCATTTTTGAAAATTTATTTTTAAAATTAATTTTACTAAAGTGCAGAAAATGCAGAAAATTTACTGTTCAACATTTTAGAAAAATGTATATTTATAATATTCATAATAATTTTAAAAATATAATTACTTCTCCCATAATAACTTCATAATAATCTTTATAACAAATTACAATCACGCCAACCAACCCAAAAATATCTAAAAACAACTTTATGAACAATTGTTCAAACCATTTTGTGCATTAAAAAAAATTGAAAACAAGGCCCCAAATCAAAATAACAAATACTAGAGCTTGGTGCTGAGTACAATCTCCATCAAGGCCAGTGCCCACAGAACTCTATAATAACAACATCAACAACAAGTTTTTATCCCACTACGTGAGATCGGCTAAATATAAAGAAAAAATACAACCAAATATAGACGTCAAGTCTTCAGAGTCTTGGCGAGGATTAATTATTTTATTCGGATTCCGAACGCCATCCAGAAACTAATCACAGCACGCCACATCACCCGTTTGTTATATACTGTTGCTCGGTACTGTTGTGTACCGAATGACATGACGTGCTGTGATTCGCCTAGCCTTCGAATGATCCTGAATCCGCACAAAATAATTTCTCCTTGGCAAGGTCATCAAAGTCGTTGATGACTCATCATGATATTTTGCAAACTTCCAATTAATATAATAAAAAACCGCATTTGAAATAATAAAATTGAATTTTAATATAATATTCCAATTAAAAATTAATAATAAGAAAACTATCCCAAATAAAATCAATCCAGATCCACACAGCAATTTCATTCCCTCACAACACAGCAACTATTCAGTGCTCGCAAGTCTAAATAACTACAAGAAGATGTAATCCTGTACTGCACAGCCGTAGATACTTAGGATTCCTTAACAAGTTCAAAGATAGTCAGCTGAAAACATGTTCAACAAACCAAAATACAAGATTTTAATAAATAAATAAATAAAGAAGATAGCAACCTCGAGCAAGGAATTGGTGGATAAGTTATTTGAAGCCAAAAAAAAGGAATGTGTTATCCATTTACTTCTCAAGACGCTGAAGAACAGATTCAGCAAAAATCTGTTGCCTGAAACAGTAAGCAGCAAAATAAATATCTAAAGTAAATTGCCAATGCTTTGTCTCAATTCAGTTGCGACCAATCATTACTCTTTGTTCTATTAATGACTAATTTATGATGAATTTCATCACAAACTTGTCACATGAATTTTCACACAAGTCCATCATAATAGCATTGCAAGCTCTGCTTGTGCTTGTTCACTTTTTTTTTTTTAATAGAAATGTTTATTCGAACATTTTCATATAAAAGTACATTAGAATAGAGTATTAAGCAATTCATATGCCTGTCCAATGCCTTCGCATGAAACGGTTACCATATTTATGTTAATCTGGAAAAAATGTGATAGGCCGCGGTTCAGAGTTCGGCCCAGCTAGCTCAAGGGCCGGCTCAGCTGTTATATAGTAGGTGGAAGCAGTCCACCGCCTCTTCTCTGTTCCACCCAAAGAGGTGGGCCCCACTAGACCAACTGATTTCAAATTGAAAAGGAGGGGACGGCTAGGGCTTGAGAGAGAAATTGGATTAGGAAAGCTTTTGTATTAAAGAGGATGAGAGGATTATGGAGGAATATATTTTGATTGATTGCAATTAGGGTTTCTTGACAACTTGGGCTCTAGACTCACTTGTCAAGAGATTTGGGAGAAACGACCCTCCTCTCGAATTGAGGATCTCTTGTATCTTTACTTTGTTCTTATTTCACTCTATAAGATTTGCTATCTTTTGATTGTTCTTCCACCATAATTTCTACGTTTTTTGGTTGTTTTTACCGATTATTGTTAGGATTACTTGCGAACTCAAGTATTTCCTATCAAAATATTACCCGGTTCTTTACAGAAATTGGATTGTTTAAATTGAACATATGATATATTGTGAATGAAATTATGTTTAGTTCATCGTAATCTGGATTTAAAACACACAAATAAGCATAAGCAAGCAAATTGTTAAAGAGAAGGCAAATAGAGAATATGCATACTTTCTTTCAGTAAGCTTGGGACTTGGGCGGAAATATTTAAGATATCCATCCCAGGGAACCTTCTTCAGGCCAGCTCGAGTAGCAATCATGTCTCTAACCCTGCATAAAATTTGATAGTAGATAAAAAAGAAAAGGTTAAAGGGATGGAAGTCAATGCCTTCAAGGATGTAAGCAATAAATCAATATAATAGTTTTCAATAAAAAACTTATCACCTTTCAGCAAATTCAATAGGAGTCTCTCCAGGTCTGAGATACTGTGGCTCTAGGTACCACACGTCACATACAACAGCCCATGATGTCATCAGGCGGACTAAATGCATTGTAAATGATTGTCTGTCATACGGTTCAAAGTAACCTTATGCTTAATAAATACAGTTATTGTCAGCCAATTCGCAACTTTATAAATTGCATGCATAGTTGATGGAAGCTTCAATTATATAGCATGAATCATTAATGGCAAATCATGCACCATGTTAACTTACCAATGTTATAGCAGATCCCAAACAAGATCTAGACTAGGTGATTCTAATTATACAATGCTTTTTAAACAGAAAGAATTGAAAAAATACATCCCACAACCGCCAAGCATCTCTCTTAAAAAGATGACCAGTGCCTTGCTGTTAGACCGGTCCAGCTGGTCCATGTGGGACCGGCCCAGCGCAACCGAGGCAGACGATCTCCGCCTTTTTCCGTGAGCGTTCAGTCCGCATGAGCCAAACGAGCATTTTATGAAGGATTTATTAAGGTTTTGGGAGGAAAATTTGAATGTAGGGACTGTTTAGGAATTTCCTTTTGATTTGTATGCATTAAATACTTTGTTTTTCTAGGGTTATGACATCTTGAATTTGGCTAAAATTTGAGATCTCCTAGATTTAGGTTTTTCTTTGGGCTCTAGCGGCATCTAGAGATTTGGGAGAGATAGATCCTCCTCTCGAATGGAGGATCAATTGTATCTGGTGATTTTCCGTTTGCCTTTTAACAAATAATACAAATTATCTATTGTTTTTGTGATTTTGTGTGGATTTTGGCAGAGAAAGCTTGTTGTTTTCCAAAGATTGATAGGAAATACTTGAGATCTACAAGTGTTTCCTATCACTTGCACACTCTTTTTTCTTCTTGATTTTCATTTATTATTTAGTTTAATCAATTCTCCTTTCCTATTCTCAATCGTTGTCTCCATAATGCCTGCTTGCTTTATTTATTCATTCTTACATACTTAACACCCCCACAACTAGAACTATGTTCCAACGATAAATTAGCATGCAAATTCCTATAAATATACCCAATATGATTCTTCAAGCAAGCTCAATTTCTGTGCCCCATGCAAACTCCTAAGATTCTGTTCTAATGGGTTCAATAACAGTGCTTGGCATTGACATCAGGATCAGATGGACCACCAAACAAACAAAAGGGAATTGGGTCTGACTTGCTGGTTGAACTTCAATCTGGCCTTAGGCAACTGAGTTGAACGTCCCCTAATGAAGAATTGCTATTCTGTAGGTCAATATAGTACCAAGTGAAGGAAATAATAGGAACTTGAGAAGCACATGTAAACAACTAAATCATTTGTCAGTTCATGCACACATCTCCCTTGACACTATCAGACACAGAATTCAAGAAAAATACATGTTTCTGATTGTATTCCTCTTGAAATAGTGTTGTGTACAAGTATCAATCATGTACATGAAATGGCATACAAATCAGAGAATAAATTATAGTCCTAAAAAATTTGAAGACTTAGGTTTTAGTAAAAAAGAAATAAGATTAAAAAAATACCAAATAAAGCTCAAGTTGGGTTAAGTGATAATGGTGGCTATGAAGGGCAATTACTCCCATGAGAAAGGAAGCAAAGATTACGTTGAGAACAAATAAAAACCTGTGATGGTCCGGTTGGGACGTGATGACCGTTGGCATGTAAAGCTAACTTCTAGTTGCGTAGAAAATTTGCGAAAAAAAAAAAAAAAAAAAAAAAAGTGAATACGAAAAACAGCTCTGCATCATTTATTAAGATTTCAAAAACATGTGAAATGGATATTAGATTATCATGTATTACACCTCACTTTACATGCCATAGTGTATGTAGTTTTACTATCACCATCATGTAGCTTTTTATTTTATGGCATCTTGTGTTTTGGCGTTATTTGCCTCTCTGTTATTTATGATGAGTCAATATATTATTGACATAAGCACAATCATAATAAATAGGGGGATTTACATACAAACACTCAAAATTATCATGTTTACATGTTTAACAACCAAAGCTTAATATTTACTCACATAACATTGAATTTTTTAAGTGACATCAAAATTACCAACTTCTGTTAACTTCCCAATAACTTCTAGTTGCCCTTTCCTCGTCACGACTTCCTCAACGCTTCTTCATCGTCAAGGATTTCGAAATTGCACACTATTGGTCCAATCATTGGCCTCTCTAACAAGATATTGTTGCAACTGCCTCTCCTCTTCTTTGTCGTCAAGGATTTTGTTTAGAACTATACACGCGGTTGTTCCGTCGATGGCCTTCCCCATTAAGATCTAGTCATGACTTCCTCTATTCGTTGTCGGAATTTCAAACTCCATTGGTCTCATCGATCGCCTTCCCTAGTGAGATACTAAGATCTTATGAGCTTTAGCCGTGACGGTAATATAATGTTGTCAATTTGCTGCAAAATCACCCGATCAGAGTGCACATGACACGTCCCTGCTGGCAAGAGACTATTTGAAGATAAATCTTAATGATATACCCGACATGACATTTGTTCTTTGCAAGCTGAGGTTAATTTCAAATTTATCACCCCCCAACAAATGGTTACGGAAGGTGGATGGTTTTAGTTTTAAGTTTTTAGGTGATATATATCTTTTTTAAGATTTATACTATTACTTGTTTTGAGACTTAACCCCTCCGGTTGGGATTTTCTGTCAACGCGGCCATCATCGGGGTGACGTCTAAGTCACTTTTATTTTTGCAAAAATTTGAGAGGTATTTTAAAAATTTGTGGTCACCTCCGATTGAGATTAGCTTTCAATATGGCTATTATCGAGGTACGTCAAAGTTATTTATATTTTCATAAAAATTTGGAAGGTATTTTAAAAGTTTGTGGTCATCCCAGTTGAGATTAGCTTTCAACTCGACCATCATCAGGGTAAGTCAAAGTTGTATTTTCATAGAAATTTGGAAGGTATTTTAAAAGTTTGTGGTCCCCTACGTTTGAGATTAGCTTTCAACAAGGCTATCATCTGGGTGATTTAAAGTTGCTTTAAGTATTTTGAAAATAGGATCCCCCTCCAGTTGAGATTTTTGGTCAACGCAGCCATCATCGAGGAAACGTTAAAATCATTTGAAAAACATCTATATTTTATAGAAATTTAGGAGGCATCTTATAATTCAAGTCAGATCGACTCCATTCCTTTCAAGGAAGAGGATGAAATTTAAATATTTGGCCCGCGCAACATTCTCGAACCATTGAATTTAGGAATTAGATGTGATGATCAGAGCACATGCGGGATGTGTTCTAATATATAGATTGGAGCTATTATAAGGGTATCGCCTTCTATCCACTTGTATAAATATGTTACGGATCTGGTGGCTTTAACTCTAGCTCGCTTGCATACAATCAAATGGATTATAGTCTCATTACAATTACAAATATCCTGGCATAGCTTTTAGCTTTCTAGATCAACAAGATCTTTACCTCTCCTCATGTATTTGTGATATGTCTTCTTCTGACAAAATGCTGGATAACTATCATCAAAAAGTGCTAGAAATAAGCCAAGAGGAGCTCCTATTAAGATGCCAATAGCACATGAATGGTCTAGTGCATTTAAGTCAAAGGAGACATCTCATGGCATTGACATAATTCTTTGAATAGATATCCCTAAAACTAATGGTTGTCAGAAGAAAGTTAATGTAATCATCATATGCAATACAAGAATGAATGTTGCATGCATGAGAAATGCAAGGATCGATGTGAGTAAAGCAACATATTCCATCAAATGATTAAGTCAAAATTAATTATCAACAACCTGAAGAATGTCATGTAGATTTAATGGATAATAGCATGACTCTTGTGCGTCAAAAGTTCATCATAGCAAAAAGGCTAGCTATTAATAAAAAGGTTTATCCAATAGAAAGAGTCTAAATATGATTCTAAGGTTCTTAGTTTGAATAGATTATCAAATTTCTTAACGAATCAAACTCTAAACATACATTGCTAAGACAGAAGGAAATGGATGATGGATGTTTTCAAACAAAGACTATAGAGGTATGTTCCAGTTTGGCTAAAGGATGCATCAAACCTATATGCTTTAGTCTTATATTATCACAAAATTGTCTTATGTTCACGATAAAATATTAAAGGTATGGCCATTTTTTTTACTCATAAAATATTGATGACAATTAATTAATTATATATGTATATGACCTTTTATTTGAAATTAATTGTGGAGGAACCTTTGTCAATTTCAATTTCGACAGCCTCCTTACGTCCCCTCCCTATGAGGGGAGGTTGGGAGGCACTTGCCTTTGGATCCACCTGTCTGGATCTAAGATGCAATAGCGCGGGGTCTTCGAATTGACAACCATCCCGCTAGGATCTAAGATATAATTGTGCGGGGCATTCAATTTAAAAGATATTTCCGCCCAGATTAAAGACCAATGGCACAGGGATTTCAATTTGCACATTCCAGGCCAGATCTAAGATCAACGACACAGATCTTCAAGTGAACGACACATGTTTAAAATCCATTCTTTATATATATATATATATAGGGAGAAAAAGTCGAACAAGCATGGGTCTGGATCGTAGAAACAAGTCGAGGTCGGAGGGGCCGATCGGGCTAGGGCACAGCTGGATGGTTTGTGTAACAGAGGGATACGGGCGTCGTCGTGCGGCTGCAGGTAGCAGTCAGGTGCAGAAGGCAGTCGGGCAGTCGGGTAGTCGACCGACGTGTGGGTCGGGCAGATTGGAGGTTGAAGCGGGATCTGGTTACCTGCGACTGGGGTCGACGAGTGTAGAGGAAGGAGACGAGAGTGAGAAAGGCTAGGGCGGCTTCAATTTCTTCTGTGTAAGTTCAGAAGATGGGGAGCAGTTCGTCTGAGGGCTTTTTGTATCGTGAGGAGCGACAATTGTGAGTGGGGTAGTGGGATCATAGGTGGTTGAGGCTAGCCGACGATTAGAGGTCAATATGTATAACATATCAAATAGGATTTATTTAATTCCAAGGGAGCTAAGTCTCACATGTGTATAAACCCACATGACCAATTAGATCTCAAGTGTGAAAACCAATAACAATCTAGATTAATGATATTAGTTCACAAACTGAATTTGACATAAAAGGTTATAAGTAGAAATCCTAGCAAAGGGAGTCATAGACTCAAAAGGAAAATCAAGTATATGAGCACACAAGGGGAAAGCAGCATAACATGGAAAGATTCTAACAAAGTGGCATGGGAAATAATCTCTCCTCGAAGAGTTCAAATGATAGTATTCAACTAGAATAAGCGTGAAAAGGATGAATGAGGTTGCATTGAGTTCTTATGATCCTAGACAATAGGATGCCCAAAGGAAGTGAAGAAAAGGAACCTTCATATCTCTAAAGTTTACATAAAATAAAGGCCTATTTCATTAATCCACAATTATTACAACATTGATTGCAGAGCTTTTAAATAAATGCATGGTTGTCCATTACATCAATAATTGTAGTTCTTAAAAAACATCTACAAGAAAATAAGAAAATAGGATACACTAGTGTGCAATTGTGTATACATATTTGTCATAGTCCAATAATATAGACTGCTCTGCTTTCCTAATTCACAAAATCAAGCTTAAACATGTGTTATAAGGAAAGCTGAGTGATTGAAATCAATTGATTTAGGAAATTTAGAAGATTGTGTAGAAATTATGAGTTTTCTTCCTATTTGTACCAACATGCTTCCCTTAACCACACCGACTAAACCTGATTTGCGACATGCTCATGCGCAAGCTACACATGTTTTAGTAACTATTTTATTTAGTTTGGATGGTAAATGGGTGTCCGAGTGATGAGTTTGTTCGATCCAATACTTGTATCAATTTGATAATATTTTTACAAATATTTTAAATATTATATACTCTTTTATAGATTTTTTAAAATTTTGTGTGGACAACATAATGTTAAATCATGTAAAATGATTGATGCCAATGTTAATACATTGTTTGAGATTAAATACACTTAATAAAAATATTGAATATAATTGTAGTTAAACAAATTTTAATTTTCTTTGGTCCTTCAATTTTTTTGTGACAATTGTGCTAATAAAATTCATTGTATAATGTATTTTAATAGAAATTAATAATATTTTTTATTATGCATATTTAAATTAATAATTGATAAAAATTATTGTAAACATATCATGTCATGCCCTACTTTTTAATTGATATGTCATTGTATCTATATTAGTTTTATGTTGTGTTCGCAATTCATATCAATGTTCATGCTCTATAGAAATCCAAAAGTCTCTACGATATAAGATTTGTCAGCTAAGCCCACAGCGAGAAAGAGAAGCTTATTGCCCCATTCTCATTACATGCGCAAAATCAATGGAGGAGCTAAGAAGGGACATGTGGGAAATTTTTTATTTATTTTTTTACTTTTAAAAAAATTGAAGTTAATCATATTTATTCTTTTATTCATCCCCTTATACCTCTTATTTTTATATAGAAATAAATTACGATCTCAAACATGAATAAAAATATTAAGGGAATATTTAAAAAATCTAATTTGTGCCCCTATTAGAAAATTTTTTTGCTTCGCCGCTATGCGCAAAAGAGGACATGACAAGGGTTATAAGAAAACCACCAAGAAAGAGTTTTACATTTGCAAGGGTATTAACATTTAAGCTACAACTAAAGAATCTCTCTCCATTTCTACCACACTCTCTCTATCTTTACATCCTCGATTCACCTTAACTTGATTAGTTAAACATCTCTCTCTCATCCTCAATTCACAACACCTTGAATAAGTCTGACTTGTGGGACTCTCCCTACTTACCATACACCAGTCCAAAATCGAATGGAAATAATTATCATTAGCCCTGTACACTTATATGCGACTGACCTTATCAAAAGCTAAACTAATGATGATGGCAATGCTAGCCTAAAACCTTCTTTAATGAGCAATTACAATTTCTTAATTTATTACCATATCTCCAGATATGCTTTGTTAAAAATTATGGCCTGAATGTGCATATATTTCAATAATCAACAAAATTAAATGTGCCTAAAAGTTCACTCAAGCTTTTATACATACATTTTGCTGTTCCAGAAAGCATCCACAAAGATTTTATTGTATTTGATGGCAACTGGGCAAACAGCACACCCGAGTTCAAAGGCACCCTGGATCAATGTAACTGCTTAGAATAGTTTATAAATACCGTAAGAAAATAGTGAGAATAACTTAAACTGAACAGAAAACACAAACTACAGATATTGAAAAGATGCAATGGTACATGAAAGATTCCCCAAGCACAGCTTTAGCTTCAACAAAATAAAAACAAAGCACGGCAAGAATATTTGAGGATTAACACAGCAAGACTGCATGTAAAAGATCAATTAACATCTAAAGACTAATACCAACCAAGACTTGGTAGCTTTGAAAACGGTTACTTAGAAGTGCAGTTACTTGAATGATACATTTTTATCATTCATCAAATACAAATGTCTTATACAGCTGGCATCCATTGCCTCCTTTACCACACAAGTGTGAGTAAACAAATTTCCAAGAAGATTTAATATTATCAATCTACCGAAATACATTCAAAATCTTCATGTCAACACCCAAAACTCCTGAAGCTGCTAGGCACACAGAAATACACCCAACTATTTGAGATCGACCATTTGAATCATCATTCTTCACTCTTTCCCACTGAGTGTTAAATGAGGTTATTACTCTATTACTCTAAGGCTTAAGCACAGTTTTCTACAGATTGTCAGATACACAAGCCAACAATATACATTTTCCAAAATTGTCTTTAATATGTGCTACACTCATTGTCACTAGCATAATTATTTCTTACTACATAAGATTCACATTTATAACACACCCAATTTCACTATAAATAACATATCTGCTGCGCAACTATCAAATCCATATGTTATTACATGTCTTTTGCAGCTTCGGAAAATCAAATATAACATAACAATTCTCCGTTATGATCACCCAGCTTTGTATCTAAAAGTTATCGCCACACCCAATCTACAAACTTTTGTACAATAGATCAGGGATACAGGACATCATAGGATCTAGGATTGATTAACCAAATTTAGGACGAGAACACAAAAAAATAAAAAATAATAATTTACCAGCCTATACCATGGGCAAAAATTAGTCTCTGTTGATACAAAATATAAAAGTACACCCCATTGTTTCAAATGATAATATAAAAGCCACCACAGTGAAATCACACAAGAAATCTGAGAACAAAAATAAAATTCTGTAACAATTAAGGTTCACACCACAAAATGGAAGATGGTGTGTAACAAACATCTTAAAATCTCAACATAGACATAGTAATCACAAATAGCTCAGATGAAAGAATAAAGATGGAAATCCCAAAATTGGTGATCCAGGTCTCATACCGATATAAGGAGAAGCACCTCATCGAAGTTATCATCAAGATTTGTACAGCACTCAAAGAATCCGCATCCAACAATAAACATATTGAGAGAAAATTCAAGTTTTATTAAATCATAGGCTAATTTTTAAATGCATAGGGACCTGCTATTTATAATCAAAAGATCCAAAAAAAAGTAATTTCTCATGGTCCTCTAAGATCTAGCCTAAAACAAGAAGTTTCAATTCAGGTAACTGTCATGATTCAATCAATACACCAATTTTCCAATCCCATTCATTAAATATAGCAACTCTTGGTTTCCAAACCATTACAAAATCGAATGAAACAATTGGTCAATGTCAATTCCAACAAGAGTTTTAAAAAAACATTTATTATTTAAGATGCATACATGACAAGAACGGAGGCGTTTTCTTTGCTTTTCCCCTTCTATATTTCTTCTTTGCTTTTCCACTTTTATATTTCTCAATGTTGTTAGTGTTGGTGGTGATGCACTGGTAAGAGGGTGAAATGTTTAGTGGTTGGTAGGTGAATGTCGTTGGGTAGAGCAGTTCGTCATTTAATATAATATTTAGCAAAACTTATGAACCCTCATGAAAATTAAATCCTTCTCCATGAGCATCAATACCTAAAATGCATATTAAAGATATAATAATTTCTTTGACTTATAGACAAGCTGGATGACAACAAGCATACTGGATAGAGGAAAACAGTTTTGAGGTATAAATGCGTTGATAGACTTGCATTACATTCAAAGCTTTATAGTAAACTCCTAGCTTGTCACCTTTCAAGCATGATTCCAGAGTAATTTAACCAGATCGAGTAGCCTAGAGGGTATCAGGACTGACCTTTTTGAACATAACAGTATATTGATTATTCACACAAGTTCCTTCCGGAAATATCAAAAGTGGGTTGTTGTCAGCCCCTTGTGTGTGTTCCCTCAGCCTGAAAAGCTCAGCATGCAGATTTTAAGCTATAATAAGGTGATCTAATTTATTGCCCCAAAAAGGCAATACTTACTTTCTTGTCACAACTTCACGATCTTTGGCCTCTGTTCTGTTGAACCAAATGCAACCCACGCTTTCCAAAATGGTTTTCTGAATGAATCCTGAGTCATAAAACAGAAAGCAGGGTTCCTGAATATTATCTACATAACGTGAAAGAGTTGATTCTCAATAAAAATATGTTCATACCAACCCATCCTGGATGCTTTTGCATGATAACCGCAAAAGCAGTCATCTGCTCTAAAATGATGAAGTCGATCATAGATGTATGATTGGCAACAAATACCTGTTCAAAACACGTAAGCCTTCTGGATGTCATGAACTAATGGAAGTTTACTAGGGAATAAATATGTTTACACTTAACATAAAACAACCTGCTGAGGGCGCATGCTTGGACGAGGACCATGATACTTGACTACTCCCGTCCACGAAGCAACAAACACACCACACATCATCTCCACCAACGTTCTCTAAAAAATATATATATTTTGAAACAAGGCAGCTTAATCTTATGCTGGATTACAAAAGACTAGTGCAGAAAACAAGATACAAAATATTTTTTAAAGCAATTTTAACTTTTGCCTGTATCATAATGGCCTAGTTTACTAAAACCCATCAAACTGAAATTAACAGATGCCCTAATTTCCGATCAGCCTTCTAAAAACAATTTCCAAAGACGCTTCTGAAGGGAAAAATTAACAGGTCCTCCCACGTAGATTTAGAAATAATGTAGATTTGTTGATGTCCTCAACAGTTGAGCAGTGTTTGATGATAGAAAATATATGATAAAGACAAAAACAACTGCGGCATATAAGTGTCCATGCAATGATCATGTCTCTACACACAGGATCTGGCAGTTCTATTTTATCCCTTATGACTGTTCTCGGGTTGATGCACTAGATTATTTCAGACTAAATAGATATTATTGAGTTCCTAAACGTGTGCAAAATAGATGTGCAAGACATATCAGCACTGTAGTCTGGCAAGCTACCACGACACCAAGCTCTATCAACAATGACTATGTATAGGAAATACTTGAGATGATAGCCATGCAACAGCATCTCTGCATGAACAACCTTCTACTGTTAAAATTATCCATTCCAAAACTTTTCTTTCGCCAAACTTCTAGATTGTTTAACTTTGCAAATTGTCCTGTAGTTGGCACATTGATCCAAGAGTGAAATGGCTACATGAAACAGTCAAAAAACAACATCACAAGGCTTAATCTTGGAAGCCCTCAACCTTGTTAATTGACCTCCATATTAAGTTCCCTTCAAGCCCTCACCATCTTAAGACAGAAAATACTTTTCCTTCATAAAATTAACACGATGAACTTCTAAAATCACAGCAGCAAGAAAAACTATATATAAACCAACAAACTAAAGCAAAGAATCAACGCCAAGGTAAATTTTGTATCACCAAGTTCGTAGAAGGAAATCAAAGGCTTTGCTCCCTAAAATTAGTCTAAACAAAGAAGAGTTCAGCAAAGTGCACCTCTATTTTGCGTTTCCATTTCTTATTCTCAGTCCAAAAATACCGTACAGGTAAGAAGGCGGCAAAAAATACTATCCAGCCAACTGCAAGGATCGCAACTCTACAATAAAAAACAGAAGGTGGATAAAATTAAAAAAAAGGAAACATGTTTCATGATGATTATCATGTCAATGCTGACTAATATTTTAAACAAACAGAAGCAAAAAAGACTAGTTATAAGTGCAAGGAGTTACAATTAGCTGCTTTGGACCAAGGCCCCTGTACAATGTACTTTTGAACAATACCAAGCAATGACTAACAGATGACAAAATAAGTAGCAAGTTTAATTGCATGGTATATTGAGACTTCAAACATTTGTTCTCAATTGGTATTTAATTTTTTTGCAATGTGCCAGACAAATATATAAGTTAAAATCCGTAAGTATTTGTGTAATAATACACATGTCTTGCCGGGATTCATTTCAGCCTGAATCAATCAAGTTGAGTGGTCTGGAGGTTGGATTATGAAGGGCATAGTTAATCTATGAGTTCACTTAAAAGAAGTCCTTGAGAAGATGCTTCCCTCACAATTCACAGATCATAACGTAAAGGGATCAACTGCTAATGGCTAACAACAGACAAGACAAGTAGCAAGTTTAATTGTGTGGTACATTGAAACTTCTAATCTTCTTTTTTTCTCAATTGTTATTCAATTTTTACAATGTAGCAGACAAAACTATAAGTTAAAATCCACAACCAATTTTTTTTGTGATAATCAACAGGTGCAGCAAATCATTGTAGCCTGAATCAATCCAATTGACTGATCTGGGGATCGGATTATGAAGGGGTAGTCACACTGTCAGTTCATTTCAAAAAAGTCCTCGAGAAGAAGCTTACCTCGCAATTCACACATCATAACGTGACTGGATCAATTGGTAAATTGAGACTTCTAAATCTCAATTGGTATTTAATTTATATTGGACCAATTAATCTCAGGGGAAAAAAAAAACAATCTAAGTACCATTTAAGGTTTCAAGAAATAATGGGGTTTACCCACATATCACCCAAATCAATATAATTACATATCTAACACTCATTTACAAATTTTGAACAAGCAAAGCCATGTACTCAAGTGAGATGCGATCAAATAATTGGAATTTGATGAATAGTGAAGCATGAAAATTGTTAATTTTGTTGCTAATTTCAGTAGTTGGCTCGAAGATGAAGAATAGAGGTAAGAGGTTGTTAATTCTATAAATTAGAATGCTTTGAACGTTACAGAAAATTGCCTGAAAATAATAATGATTCTCACACAATAAATTCTTGTAGCTGATTATAAACTTATCATAAAGCTTGGACAAATGTCGGTGCATAGAAGAACCAGTAAAAGGTAAGAAAAAGCCTAGCATATAAAAAAAGCTAACATAAAATCAAGAAAAATATCAGATAATTAAATAACAAAAATGCGCTCACCTTAGTGGGAAAAGAAATCCATATCTAATCATAACTCCTAAGCACCACAATGGAAACAAATATATGTTCCAATTCCAGGGTTCTTGATAATTTGATTTAAAGCAGCGTGTGAAAGAGTCCTGGGAAAAGCTTAAGTTCAATAAGAAGTCTTACACAGGAGGAAAATCAATGTTATACTCGCAAAGAATACATCATTATATGCTTGTCATTTAGCAAGCTTCTACAAAAAGTTTGCAAAGATTATGATACATATAACTTGTACATCTCCCTTCCCCACTCATTTCACTTGTCATTTTTTCTTGTTCTCTATTTTCAATACAATGGACTTATCCCTAACTTTTTTCTTTTTCTTTTTTTTTTCTCATAATTTATTTGCCAATCTTGCTTACATGAGTGGAGTTAGCTCAAGCTTGGTACAAAAGATAAAGTAAATGATAGGCACAGAACAGAACTTACAAAGGTTTTAGTTTATGTACATCGCAGCACGATATTCTTAAATTTGAAAAAAGATGAGAAAAATCAGAAATGAAATTGAGGCTTCTCGTCACACATTTGTAACAGCATTTTCTCTGTTTGCTTGTTTCAATTATTTGCTATAGAAAAGCGCAGATGCTGCAACAAATTAGTGATTTATCTGGCACACTCCAAGTGATGAAGGTTAGCATATATGACAAGTAATCAACATAATATTTGAACGAGTAGTAGAACTTACAGATAATGGATGCATGAGCATGCCATATGAAAAATAACCCATGGTTCATCTAACCTGGAATTTCACAATCTTTTTTTCTTTTTCTTATGGCATCGATGATGAAATATATCAATTTATTTCCTTAGACATTTGCAAGAGGATGTAAGAGGATGTATCTTGGTGTATGCTTCTTGCTGATGATATTCTTCTTGTTGATAAGACTAGAGAGGGAGTTGAAGGTAAACTTGAATTATGGAGGTCAACCTTAGAGTCTAAAAGGTTTTCGCTTGAGTATATCTAAAACGGAATATATGGAGTGTAATTTTAGTAGAAATAGACCTAGTGAGGGGATTGTGACTTTGGGCGATCAAGTCATTAATAAGAGTACACGTTTTAGATATCTTGGATCTATTGTTCAGAGTGATGGTGAAATAGATGGGGATATTATCAGCAGAATTCAAGTTGGATGGTTGAAGTGGAGGAATGCATCGGGCTTGTTATGTGATAGAAATGTATCCCTCAAACTTAAGGGAAAATTCTATAAGATGGTAGTGAGGCCTGCAATGCTTTATGGTGTCGAATGTTGGCCATTAAAAGAGAAGCAAAATACTAAGTTAAGTGTGGCAGAGATGAGGATGCTCAGGTGGATGAATGACTTTACCCTTAGAGATAGGATACGAAATGAGCATATACGTGAAAAGGTTGGAGTAGCTCCAATAGAAGATAAGATTAGAGAGAGTCGCCTTATATGGTTTGGTCACATAAAAAGGCGGCCTTCCGATGACCCGGTTAGGAGAGTATAGGTATTAGATTTGACTTGTGTTGAGAAAGGTAGCGGTAGACCTAAAAAGACTTGGTTAGAAAATATTAGGAATGACCTTTCTAAGAGAATTTGACTTTAAAAGGACACAATGGAGAAAAAGGATTCATGTAGCCGACCCCACGTAGTGGGATAAAGGCTTGATGTTGTTGTACAGTTAAGCAAAAAAAAAAAAAGCAACCATAAAAAGTGAAACCAGGGAAAGTCAATTAGACAGGATTTAAAGCGACTAGATATGTCAAAGTCATGGATTGAATCGCTTAACAACGTGGAAACTAAAATAAAAAACCACAACTCAGATTGTAACCCGATAAGAACCATCTAAGACACCATGAAAGCATTTAAACTCCGATTAGCCACAAAGTCTTTCAAAAAAGGTTAAACACGGGATCAAAATAGCCCAAACAGTCGGTCCAGATAAACCAACAGAATCACCAGACAACACTTATTAAAGACAAATTAACATTCTACGCATTTTTAGGAACACATCGAATTTTAAACGATAACGACCTTCGTGGAGCTGCTAATAAATTTTTAATAGCATTTTAATTACGGAATTTCTTATTAGAAATGGACAAATTAAGAGCGACACTCACATCGATTGATGGGCACCTGCAGCCTCCGTTAGAAGTAGGCGAATATGTTGAGCAAATCGCTCCTGAATGAGGTGCAAGGGTTCGTCAGAAAGATCGAAGAGATTCGCAGCAAAAGTGTAAGAAACTGAGAGTGAGAGGAAGGATACAGCTGAAGCTTCTGGGTGCCTCGTGGATGGACTCGGCAGTCAGTACTCTTCGATGTTGAGTGGTCAAGGATCGGCCTCCGAAATCGAGCTCGAGACCCGCCATGGCTGACCCGGCGAAGAGGTGAGGAGCGATGTTTTCAGTTTCTTTTTCTGCTATTAAATGTCTTCTATTTCCCCGGAGTTATACCGCTCCTCTTTTTTTTTTTTTAATTTGACTATATATATATATCATATATATATATATATATATATATGATATATATATATATATATATATATATATATATAATTGTTTTTAGGATGGAATTATTTTTATGGCCCGTTATTGAAATCTAAAAAAGAAAATTCGAAATTAAATAAGCTTCTTGTTGCATTCTGGAGTATTCGTGGTTTAACGTCTTAGCATTGTACGAAGATCCAGCATACAATCAGATAGGAGAGAGAGGGTGTAGAATTAATAAGAGACACCAGAGTTTTTACGTGGAAACCCCTGAAAAGAGGAAAAAACCATGGGGCCTGGTCCAGTTTGAATGAATCCACTAGTATTTGCAATCGATTACAAAATGAGGCATTTCTTAGGAAGATGCATTGGATTGATGTTACAAATGTACGTCATATATAGAGCATCACATGGTAGGAGTTACAATAATCAATATAGACATGTTTGTTTGGTTGGAATGGCCATTGTAGGTGATGGAGGTCGGAAGGACCATAGTCGGCAGGAGGCAGAGGTCCAAAAGATCGTAATTGGCAGGAAACCGGGGTTAGAAAGACCTTTGTTTGGTGATGGAGGTCATAAGGATCATAGTTGGCGATGGAGGTCGGACCGTAGTCGGCAGGTGATCGGGGTCAGAAAAACTGTTGTATGGCGATGGAAATCGGAATGACCATTGTATGTGACGGAGGTCGGAAGGACTGTAGTTGGCAGGAGACAAAGGTCTGAAATATCATAGTTGGCAAGAGAACGGGATTAGAAAGACCGTAGTAGTAGGGTGATATTTCGGTATAACTATAAGCATCAAGCGGTAGTCCTTCATAAATTTGGGTCTCAGGTGGTGGTCCGACGGAAGTTCAGGCTCATGTGGTGGTCTGGCAGAAATCCGGACCTCAAATGGTGGCCCGGTAGAAATTTGGGAGTCAGGTGGCGGCCTGGTGGAGCACAGGGCCTTAAATGGTGATCTAACAGAAGTATGGGTGTCAGGTGGTGGCCTGGTGGAGCACAGGGTCTCATGTGGTGGTATAATAGAAGTCTGAGCCTCATGTGGTGGTCTGGCGTAGCAACGGTCTCAAGTGGTGGTCCGGTGGAAGTCCGGGCCTCAGGTAGTGGTCCGGCGGAGCAACGACGTCATGCGGTGGTCTCGGCGGAGGTGATGGCCTCGAGTGGTGGTCCGACGAAGCTCAAGGCCTTAAGTGGTGGTCCAGCAGAGTAACGACGTCAGGCGGTGGTCAGACGAAAGTCCGGGCCTTAGGTGGTCCGGTGGAGCTCAGGGCCTCAGGTGGTGGTCTGATTGAGCAATGATTTCAGGCGGTGGTTCGGTGGAGGTGAGGGCCTTAAGTGGTGGTCCGACGGAGCTCAAGGCCTTAAGTGGTGGTCCGGCAGAGCAACGGTCTCAATTGGTGGTCCAACAGAAGTCCGGGCCTCGAGTGGTGGTCCGGCGAAGCAACGACGTCAAGTGGTGGTCCGGCGGAGGTGAGGGCTTCAAGTGGTAGTCCGACGGAAGTCCGGCAGTGGTTGAGGAGGAGCTTCTTCCTTCTCTTATTCCTTCTTCTCTTCTTTCTTTGGTTCTCCTCTCAAGAAAAATGAGGGGTCTATTTATAGATTTCTTGAGTGGCATGACCCGTAAATAGGTGAGAAATCAAGGGTAAATGGGAGTAGTTGAATGGACGGCTGATATTGAATCCCTTGATCATGTACCGTTCGTCAGACATTTGAAGGTTTTAATGATGTTGGAATTCAGCGATCTTGGGCTCGTTGGATTTGTCTTGTCGAGCCGCTCGATTTGATTATAAGCACGTCATGTTTAGAAACCGTTTGGTAACCCAAATTGTGGTTTGAACCCTCCAACAGTGCTTCGGATCCTTTATTTGGACTCATTTGGGCCCGGATTGAGTCGAAATTGGTGTCGTTGGGTTCGTATTTCCGAGACGTTCAGTTTGACTATAAGTTTGCTGAAATCGAAGTTCGTATGGTCCCAATTTTAATTTCGGAAGCTTCCAACTTGATTTGCATCGAGATTCGTGCCCGATCAAGATAATTTTTTGATGACATATCACTTCTAATAAGGCATGAACTATAAATCAAATAATTTTTTAAAATAAATATAAATTTCTAACTTATTCAAACAAACAATATTCTAAAATAGATTTGAACACTATTCAAACAAAATAGACTAAGGCCTAAGGCTTGAAAGTAGGTTTAAAAAAAATAAAGTTACATTGTAAACTATTCAAATATGATTCAACAAATATATGAACATGATTAGAATATGATTCAAATATGACTCAATCAATTTTAAAATATGATTGGATCAATATCTGAATATCTATGGAATATTTTTGATAAGATTCGATTATAGTTCCAACAATATTCAATCATATTTAAAGCAAAATATGAACAGCACAATAGAATTTATGTTTGTTGCACTTAACTATAATCATAACATATTTTTTTTACATAAATAAAGTGTTTGCCTCAATATTAACTTCTTAATTTTTACAATATTTTTATTATAAAATTATGAATGAATAAATATTTTTATATAATGTATAAAATAGAAGAAAAGGTAAATACTAATAAATATAAATCTTAAGTTGGATGCTACATAAAAACTAAAATAATTTTAAAATAAGAGAAACACATAAAATTTAATTTTAATTAATTATCCCAATTTAACTAAAAAATGACAAACAAAATAAAATACATATCTCAACAACTTGGATCAACCTCACTCTATTGGGTCTCCGTTCATTCTTGAAAATATATAAACCACATATAATGAGCCAATAACCCAATATATTACTTGAACCTATAATTGTAGTGAATGCATGGCAATAAAAATAATGTGTATATAATCTTTCATCATATTAATATGAATGTATAACAGTCAATATGAATAAATTTAATCATTGCAATTGAATGCTTAATGATATATGGACATACAAAGGATCGGTATATTTTGTCGTTATTATACTCATATTAAGTACAATGTAGCAAGTGAAATCATGGATCTATGTATGTTTATAATTCATGCCATTATTCTATCTCTGCATCATGTATATATATATATATATATATATATATCCTCCGTTGTTGTTGTTGAGAAGAGAGTATAAAATTCACAAAATCCTTTTATCCTTAAATCTGGAGGCTCCGAAAAGTTATAGAAAAATATTCATAAATTAACTAAATATATCTATAATCATTTGATGAATTGATTTGCAAAATGGATATTTAACATATGTGAAAAAATTCACTTGTATTGATATGTGTCAAGTTTTCTATATATTGCCTATATAAATTAATAGAGTAAAATTATATAATATATATAATATATTATATATAATCATGCGGAGACGGTTTACAAATAGACTATAATAACTCATAAAATATTATTTGATTAAATCAAAATATAGCTTATACATGATATGATTGATACGGACATATGATGAGACTGATATAACTAACTCAATAATGCATGATACACATAATCATGATATTCATATATATTATATAAGAATATGAAATATATGCATTGATACCATAC